AGTGGTGAAGTTGTCCCACTTTGGAAGAGAAATAGTAAAGGAAGGGTGAAGAGGTGTTATAAAAAGAGAGGGCGGTGAATTCACTTTGTAACTTTGTCTTTTTGAAGATGAAGTTTGAGGTGCATCCCTTTAGTTTTTCTAAACTTTAAGAGAATATTTTTAAGTTCTATGATTTTTAAGAGAATACCCTAAAATTTCATAAATTTCAATGGGTGAGAATGGTTTGAGCTTGGTTCGAGTTTGAGTTCGATCTTGGTTCGGGTTCAAGTTTGGGTACGAGTTCGAGCTTGGTTCGAGCTTCAAACGTGTTCGAGCTCGAGTTCGAGTTTAAAAAATTGCAATTGGGTTCGAGTCGAGTTTAGTTTTTAACTACTCACGAGTTTTAGAGTCGAGTTCGAGCTTGAGAAATTACTATCGAGTTCAAGTCGAGTATATCAATACTCGAGCTCGACTCACATCATTTACACCCGTGTTCGGATGAATGGTTACCAGGTTTGCGGTTTTTCCATGAACTTGATCCTACATATATACATACACCATTTCTTGTTATCTTTCAATCATGGGTCTTTTGTTTACATGACACGGCTGTTTCAGGTAAAAACAATGGGAAAGGGTATTACGTCTACGAAAAAGGTAGCAAGCCGAAACCTGACCCGCTGGTGCTACCAATTATAGAGGAGTCAAGAAGGCTAGCCAATCTTATGCCGCAAGGAAAGGTAAGAAAAGGAGGAGCCTTTCTGGTTCAGGGCGGATTTCAGCCACCACCCACCTTGCCATTTGGTCTAATTCCTATTTTGTATAACGTACTTTCAGAAACTTTCTATTTGGTAGCTCAGATATGACATCTCAAACATTTAGACACACCCAATTTACATCTAAGAACGCATGAAAATGCAACGTACTTTGATCCCATTCATATTTTATGTTAACATATTTTGGTCTAAATGTGTGAGATATCACATCTGAGGTACCAAAATGAAAGTTTTAAAAGTACTTCAGATCAAAAGACTGAAAATAATGTGTATGCTTGAATTATCTGTGGCAGCCCATATCCATCACCGACCAAGAAATAGTAGAGATGGTACTCTTTCCAGTGGTGAACGAAGCGTGTCGTGTTCTAGAGGAAGGAATTGTTGTTAGAGCAGCTGACCTTGACATTGCATCCGTTCTTGGGATGAGTTTCCCTAAACAACGGTACGCCATTTTTTTGAAGTATATAATATTTACATACGACAAATACTCACACACACTCATCACCAGGGCCCGGTCCTGAGGTTTTTCATACCCCAGGTGGAAAGCCTAAAAACTGCCCGACCTAAAAAATCACACAAAACATAATACTTTCACACTATCTTTGTGAGGTTTAAACCTTTGTTCTCCTTGGAGATTGGGCTCTACTAGTAACCCGGGTATTGCTGGCCAAATGACCCTTTGGTACGTCCATATTAGCCGCTAGCTTTTTCACCCATTATATGACGTCTATCATCGGCATTTCCATATTCGAGGATACGAGATGTATGGACAGCAAATAGAAATTCCAACTATTATAATTAGTTTCTTGCCCATTGTTCTTACGTAAATGTGAAAAAGAACGCTATAGTTTACAAGAATACGCTATAGTTTCACGTTTGGTCTAAAATTGTTCGTTCATTACAAATTATAGTTGTTCTTTTTACATTTCACGTAATCAGCCTTTCTACCCCTTGGGTTAGAGGCAAAGACACCGTACATTCTACTCTTAGATACTACCTCTATATGGGATATGCTGCATAGAGGTGTTCATCTAAACCGCCAAACTGCACCACACCGCAACATGCGGTTGCATTTTATCTGGTTTGTGGTTTTGAATCATCAAACTGTTGTTCAAACCAAACCAAACCGCACGTTTAAATATGTTTAATATATATATACACACACATTGTGATTAACTAATTGAAAATAACTAATAAATTATTGGTTTTTTTTTTTTTTTCCTTAAGTTTTACGTTACAGATTCCTTGTTTGAGTTATTTTCTTTTGTTGTTTGTCACACATCATCGTTGAATTTATTTTGAATTTTACTTTTAGATGTATTTGAATTAAGTATGGAACTCTTTGGTTTGTTCTACACAATTTTTAATCACACATTTTGGACGTATTGGAACTTTTTATTGTATGAAATATGGAAACGTCTTTGTCGAATTTATTTTGATATTGTGATTTTATAATTATTGGATTGAAATGTGTTAGGTACAAACCACATCACTCCGCATGCATTTCGCAGTGCGTTTTTTTGCGGTTTGAGGCATATGTGGTGCGGTTGTGGGAAAATCTTCAAACCACATATAAACCGCAACAACCCGCACCCCGAACACCCGTAAATTACTGCATATTGAGCTCGTTTGGTTTAATTTTTAAAGTGAAATGCTTATTTGCGATTAAGACCAAATATGATGGTTTGGAACTTTAATAGTTGTGTGGTTTTGGGTGTAGTGGTGGCATCATCTTCTGGGCTGATTTGGTTGGGAGTAAACACATATATACAAGTCTCAAGAATTGGTCTGAAAAATATGGCAACTTCTATAAACCATCAAGATTCTTGGAAGAAAGAGCTATGAATGGTGTACCATTGGTAAGAAATCTTAATCCCCCTTCTTCATTCATCAGTTCACGAATGCGTCTTCATATGCATACATCATACCCTTATTGGACCCCACCTCCGGGTAGGATATACTGGGTTTGTTCTGTTTGGTTTATTTGTGACATATGTGGAACCCCATCTGATTACTCTCCAAAAGAGCCCTTTGAGGAAAGAACGAAGGTTCCAACATATATTGAAGTAGAAAGGTCCAAATTTTGCTAATGTGGATGGGCACGGATTCCCAAATAGATTTTGCTTTGATACCATGTGGGATATGTGGAATCCCACATCAAATTACTCTCCAAAAAACCATTTGAGGAGAGAATGGAGGTTCCAACATATATTGAAGTAGAAAAGTCCAAGTCTAGCTGATGTGGGACTCTAACAGTATTCATATTGATCTCTTTTGCAGAATGCACCTGTTTCAACGCCTAAAACTACAAGTTCTAGGGCCCGACTGTAAGTAATATATCAATCAAGTTGGAAGAAGATGAGAGTATATGCATCGATTGAGTAATACGTGAAGCCGATTGTCAAATAAAACTGGTCTTTTTCTCAAGACTTTGGAAGCAATATAAAATTTGCAGTGTTTGTCCTTTGTTTGTCTTTGTATGGTTATATAGATTAAGGTACCAATGGATTACAAGCAGTCAAGGTTTCTTCTCCTTTAGACCGGTCTAGACTGCGACCGGTTAGGTAAAGTCTTTATCAGGGCTTTGGGTGGTTTGACTCGAACCGGCCCGGTTAACCGGTTTACCTATTTATTAGATTGATCTGGTTAACCGGTTTGCCTATCTCTAGAATTAGCAATGAGAGGAATTTCCCATTTTCTCGAGAGGAAAATGTATCAAAATGGAACGAGTTTTGTTCTTATAATATGTAATTGTGAATCAAAATCATCGATTAATGTAAGTCAACTGACAATAAAGCTTGGGTCTTTGGGGTTTCTCCTTAGAGCTCAGCAGTTCGAATCCTGCAAGGTCACTTGGGATCTTCCCTAGAAAACATCCTCAAAGATCACCAATTTAAGTCATAGCGTCCTGACCTGGATTAATACAATTTTTCTTTTTCTTTTTAAAAGAAAAGTTAGAGTGGACTATATATAAGGGGTTGTTTGTTTACCTCTTAGTAGTTCCATTAAGAGGTGAATCTTGTTTGGCAAAAAAAACCTACCTCTTAATGGTTCTAAAACTCTTTGAATGATTTTGTATTCTGGGACTCCTTTAACCATTCAGAGCCTTAATTTCATTGTAAACAATTAACAAACAATTGTATTTCATATTGCATTATATCATGAGTGTCATTTAATCATTCTGTACCAAACCATTCAGCAACTGTCAAATAGCACCTAAATGTCTCAGATTGTTTTTATTTTAAAAATTGTATCATTGTTTTAAGAGTATATTGCGTTTTTTTGTCTCTATAGTTTTTAAAAATTACGATTTTTGTTCCTGTGGTTTAGAAATTGTGGTTTGCGTCTCTATGGTTTGTAGTTAATTGTTATTTTAGTTCTTATGATTTACAATTTGTTGTTGTTTCGGTCATATGGTTTATAATTTTTTACTGTTTGGTCCCTTGTACTTGAGGTAATGTTTGGTACGCAAACATGATGAGACAGGACATGACAAAATTAGACAGGACAAGAGGGTAGGACTAAACAGGACTGGATACGATTAAAACTAGACTGGACAGAACTAGACAAGTTGCTCCAAAAAATTATTTGATGATTTTATATATCACATAATGGTTATAATTAACACAAATAAAGTAAATGGTAGATAGTGATGATGACAGTCGACCATGGTGGAGGTAATGGTAGTGGTGGGCAGAGGTAGTGGTAGTCGATGGTTATGGTGGTGATGGTCAGTGGTGGTCAATGATCGGTGGTCGACGGTCGACGATGGTTGTGTAGGTAGAGGCAGTGGTTTTTGGTGGACGACGGTGGTTGTGAAGGAGGTGAAGATGGTCGGTGGTGGTGGTGGTGGTGGTTGACATTTATGGAGGTAGTTGTAACCGATGTAGTAGAGGTAGTGGTAGTGGCAACAGATGGTGGAGTGATGGTGGAGGTGAGGTAGCCCACAGTGGTAATGATGGTGGTTATGGATGGTGGTGGTCGGTGACCAATGGTGGTTGTGGAGGTGGTAGAGGAGGAGGTGAAGGTGGCTGACAGTGGTAGAGGTGGTGGCAATGGACGATGGTGGTCGGTGGCCGATGGTGGTTGTGGAGGTGGTGATGCACGGTAGTAGTTGGTGATCGATGATGGTTGTGGGGGTGGTGGAGGAGGTTGTAGCGGAAGAGAAGGTGGTCGACGATGGTGGTGGCGGTCATAGCTAGCAATGATGACCATTAAAACAAATATCATATTAAGATTATATATCAAACAAGGTATATTAGTAATATTTTAGTTTTCATCTAATTTTTGTCCCATCTTGTTCCACCTATTTTGGTGAAACAAAAAAAAAAACCTTTTATCTGACGTTGTCCCACCTTGTCCCTATCCTATGTCACGTCAAACATTCAATAATGAGTTCTTGTCTTGTCTTATGTCATGCCAAACGTGATACAAAACATTTTGTCTTGTCTTGTCCCATGTACCAAAAACAACCTAAATACAGGAATTAATCCAGGGAGGAAAATAGCAATAAATTACAGATCATATTGACGAAAATCACAATTTCTAAACCACACGTTCACAGGGACGAAAATCAGAATTATTAACAACTGAAAATCGTAATTTACTCTTGTTTTAATAATAATTTGAAAACCTCAGTAATTTGGGGCTCTGAGGCGTTCACGATTACAAAATAGTTTGTTTAACTTAACCAGTCAAACTATATAACACCAATATTCTGTTTGATTCGTTCAGAAGTTCCATTAAAATGTTTGGGTGTGGTACTGGTAATAAGCATTTTTGAGTGTTTGGATAAACAACTTATACCGGCACCAAACCGGTAATAAGTAGTTTTTGAAGAAGTTAAACTCTTCTGATTTATAATTTCATAAGTGCTTTTGTAGAAAAGCATAAGTTGTTTCAAATAAGCAATCGCAAACACCCTCTAAATTTTTCAAGGATTTCAGCCATACAAACATACAATTTTTTTGAGCTAAACATATCATTACAATAAAAATAAAAAAATTAACAAGTCAACTGATCTTGAGTTTAAGCATATAAACGAGCTTACAGAGCTTGAATTTTAAGTCATAACGAAAACTCAAAAATGTGAAACGCTCATCGAACTCAAACTCAAGCTCGAACATCAAAAATGTCATTCAAGTTTAAGTTGAGTTCGAGCCTGATATTTTCCCGTTCCGGGCCCGAACAAGTTACTACTCCTTGACTCGGCTCGTTAACACTCTTGGATACAACTGATTACTCTTTGTTCAACATGAAGACAACAATATGAAAATTACGGGCATGTTTATCTACGGTGTCGATTACGTCCTATCAGCATCAGCTAGTTTATCTAAATCTGACTGATGGTGTTAACCGAGCACCTACCCATTCAGCATTATCCAGACTGTACTCTTATCCAGTCAGCGCTTAACCAGAGTGTGTGTCGGTAATCAGTAAGAAAGAAGAACACACTAATCAACACTCCAGAACTTGATCAAATACTATGGTAAATGAATAGAGTAATCGGTTAGTTTTCGACAATGGTGAATCGAAGCATAATTGGCCGTTGCATCGAAGAAAAAACTGATCGCCTAATAATACAGAAAATACTTCTCATTGTTACACATCTTTTTCGGGTTTTAGTTTCAAATCTCCATTTTCGGCATGAAACGGGATTTTCAAATGTGTGTAGTTATCGTTATTTTGAGATGGGTTTGTTGTGGGTAGGGCTGCTGACCTTGGGAAACCGTTGACGAAAGGATCCCAACGAGCTTTTGTAGTAGGGTTTTCGACTGCTTCCATTTGACTTTGACCCCCAGAATCACTTCTCGCCAACGAAGAACATTGTGTTTCTGAAATGTAGAGCCAAGTTAGAATGATATTGTTCGGTATTATAAGCTATTAAGCATGCACATCGGAAGATTTTTAATACCCCGACCGTCCAAAAATAAGTTTCCACTTTCCAATTTTACCCTTAATTATGAGACAGAGGTACAGGTAGATAAGATGAAACAAACATAGGAACAACGAGCATTGTACTAGAAACTACTAGGATATGAGAAAAACTACGTCTGTCATACAGTAAAAGCAGGAAAAACTAGGGTTTGCTTGTTAGCAGTTTAATGAGCTTAATGGGACCCACAGCTTATTCGGTCAGCTATACATGATTGTTTGGTAGTGGATTAATGATATAGAAAGTGGCATATTCAATAAGCTTCTATGGGAGAGCGTTATGCAGAAAGACAAGTTTCTTCCAAACCTGCTTTTCCAATTAAAAAAAATGTTTATTCTATCTATGAAGAACCTATCCAATCTATACAGACATCCCATTAAAAAACATGTTCACTCCATCTATGAAAAAACACCCAATCTATACAGACAGATTAATCCACACAGGCAGATTAATCCAAGCAGACAACTTTATCCGAACAGAAGTTAATAGAAACCCAAGCAGGGGTTGTTTGGTTGGTTTTCCATCAAGTCCTGTATGGATAAAGTTATTTGTGTGGATTAATTTATTTGTATGGACTAAGAAGGTTTTTGTTTGGGAGGGTTTTTTCTTAAGATGAAAGGTGCGTGTTTTTTAATTGGGAGGGACAAGTTTGGGAAAAACTTGGGCTTCCTGCATAAAGTTCCCCCTAAAAGCTTACTTAATAAGCCACTTTCTATATCATTAAGCCACTAACAAACAGTCATGTATAGCTAACCAAATAAGCTGTAAGTCTCATTAAGCTCATTAGCTAACTTAATAAGCTGCAAGTCCCAATAAGCTCATTAAGCTGCTAACAAACATTCCCGACATACTATATAAACATGAAAGACAAAGGAGTAAAGGGTCCCACAAGTATATGCGAAAACAAAAACTATGGATGATATTCATACGAGAACCACAACTGATCTCAATTTGTTATTTCATGTTCACATGTTTTTTCTACACGACTACATCTAACTCTAAGATTCTAGGTATTGTTTCACAATGTAAAACAATACATGATTCACGGGTTCTCAACCTTTTCAAGAACCTCATTCGATTATGCCACCAAAAACTTCTACGGTTAACAAAAACGGAATTAGAACTTAAAAAGAGGTCGAAACTTGCCTTTTAATTCTCCTAAAGTGATGAGTTTGTTAAGACAATCTCGAAACGCTGTCAGCACCATCTTCTCTTGTTCAGCATAACTTTCTGTAATTACTTGGCCATTCGGCAAATGACCATATGTAGCCGAACCATGATTATTCACTAATAGATTAGAACCGGAATTGATAAAAACCGTATCTTGTTCATCACACATCAGGGCTAAAGTTCCTGGAGACATTGGCCTCCCTCTCGAACCATCTGAACCTGACTCATCTAGGCCGGGGTTTTCGGCCTGAATCCCGCTTAAAGATTCATCAGCCACAGCTTTCTGGGCATTGGGTTCCTTTGGGCTCTGTAGCCGATCAATGGATGATGATGTGAGAGTGCTTTCTCCGTTGTTTGTCATCTTTTCTTTCACATTTCTCTCATCTGAAAGAGTAAACATATATATATATATATATCAAGAATTTCATGGCATTTCCCAGTCTAAAATTTGAACAGATATAACTGCAATTAGTAGAATGTGGTGATTTCATTGTTTCTTGAAAGCTTGTAAGTTGAGCTTTAAACTAATCTCTTCGGTTATTTTAGCAAAATAGAAGCACGTAACTAATACAAACCAATCCATTGAGATATTTATGGGAATGTGAGGGTTCATTTATTATGATCTGGATATTTAAGGAAGAGGATCAAAGTTCGTTTATAATCATCAACATTCTAGAATAGAAAACAATTGAAATATTTATGAAACCAGATATTCGTTAGACTAGATGGACAGTTGAGATTAGTTTGTATGGTTCATACTAATTAGGTGGTTTGCAAAAGAAGGGGACTCTCTCTCCCTCTCTCTCTCTCTCTATATATATAAAGTCAATGAAAGACTGAGGAACACCTGGGTAACCGTTAATTTGGACAGTGTGCACATGTGCATATAAGTAATCTGTAAGCAATTTGTCCGGTATACACATGTGCATAACATGCATGTGTGCATAAAAACCAAGAAACAGCTTCAATTACTTGTATGCACATGTGCATACCATCCAGATCAGTTTTACATTTTTTTGTGGTGTTTTCCCCTAAACCTCCTTATATATATATATATATATATAGGGTTGGGTTCACGTGAGACCAGCCTGTTTTCGTGAGACCCGTGAGACCACATTTTTACACGTAAACTTCACAGCAAAAACACTGTGAAGGTTTAAAAAAAGTCGAACCTTCACAGCAAAAACACTGTGAAGGTTAAAAAAAGTCGAACCTTCACAACAAAAACACTGTGAAGGTTTAAAAAAAGTCGAACCTTCACAGCAAAAACACCGTGAAGGTTTAAAAAAAGTCGAACCTTCACAGCAAAAACACCGTGAAGGTTTAAAAAAAGTCGAACCTTCACAGCAAAAACACCGTGAAGGTTAAAAAAAGTCACCTTCACAGCATTTTGCTGTGAAGTTTCATGTGTAAAAAGTTGGTCTCACGAAAACACGCTGGTCTCACATGATCCCAAGTCTATATATATATATATATATATATATATATATATATATATATATATATGCAGTATCTATGGCTAACACGGTAATTAAAGAAAAAGAAAATGGTAATAATTTTAAAATACTAATAAGCCTAACAAAGATCATGTGAAAAGAGCTCATATAGTAACAATAGAAGCGATGGCCGTCTCATTAAATTAACTATTATAACATGTTTATATATACCTGAAAGCACCCGGGCTGCTTCGCTCGTATACGCCACCAAAACAGCACAAAGCTCCTTCATATCATCTGGACGAATAAGATCCGCTAAAAGAGACCTTTAACCAAGATAGACTAGTTAGTTTACAAAAAAACGAACAATATATAGCAACTTTTTTTATAACCGTGGGTGTCCAAGTCAGCTTACGCCCACCTCGACCAATCCCATGGCCCCTGAAGATAACAGTCAGGAAAATCCCCAGTGGTCCTCCTCGAACTGGTGATCTATGGAGAGGATCCCCAAGGCCTGACCTTTGTTATATATATAGGGTCAAGTAAAGGGAAAACCGCAAAAAATATTGAAAAACTAAGGAACACTTGGTAGCCATTCATATGCACATGTCCATACAAGTAATTTATAAGCAATTTGTCCGGTATGCACACATGCATAAAAACCAAGAAACAGTTTCAATTACTTGTATGCACATGTGCTTACCGTCTAGATGAACAGTTTACCAGAGTGTTCCTCGTTTTTTCATTTTTTGGGGGGTTTTCCCTTGAACATCCCTGCATATATATGTGTGTGTGTGTAGCAATTTTGAGCGAGTGTATACCGGTACATAAATTTGGATGGACCCACGGACGCATTGTTAGCAACACGAGCACCAGGAACAGAAGGCCATGAAGAGGAAGGAGCAGAAACTTTGACATGATTTGTCTGGTTGCATAACAATAGAAAGTTCAAAACGTAGTGACCAATGTGAAGCCAAAGTCAACTATTTGACCAGCCTATAAATGCTAAAAGAAGAAGTGGCAGGTTCAAATGAGAACCGTAAATATTTTGAGAACCTGGTAATCCACTTTCATGAATTATTCATTATGAATAACCCTAAAATGTTCATGAATCATGCATTTTCATTATTCATGATGAATATTAGGAATATCTATCACGATATCCATCATGAATAGTTGGTTCCCGGGTTCTCAAAAATATGTACGGTTCATGAAATATTCATTTTGAATAACACTAAAATATTCATGAATATCATGCATTTTCATTATTCATGATATGCATCATGAATATCTATCACGATATTCAACATGAATAGTTGGTTCCCAAGTTCTCAAATCTCATTTGAACCTGCCCCAAAAGAAGAATCGATGAACGGATTATATCTATTACCTGTTGAAACTGCGCAATCCTGTGAAAAGACGTATCTTTTGCAGCGGGCCCACCAAAAAAAAGTTCTTGGACCTTTCTTTTCCTGGATACAGGTGGTGAACCATAACCAGAGGATCCAATAGCACCGGTGATGGCAGCATTTGCCGCCTGTTGAAGATACGCTATGTTATTGGCAGAATCTCCATGGAAAAGTGCCTGCCGTTCTTCGCTTCCCTCAAAATTCTTGCAATCCATGCATTTACAATTTTCCGAGCACAAAATGTTGGCTTGAAAACACTCACAGTATTTCTTCAGGCATCCCGACTTTTTGCAATGGCATCCTTTGTTATGCTTTCCCAGCACTACAACTTCCCCGGCCTCTTCCTGCATTAATTTGTGAATGATCCACTCAAGAGACAAGCAAAAAATATAAACTCGACCGATCAATTAGGATCTTATTTTCGTTGTTGTTAAACCATATACTGGCGGAATTTTAAATTTTTATAGTCGTTTTTTAACTCATTACTACTAGAAGAATACAAATGTTTCATCGTTTATGATGTCAAACCAAACCAAACCAAACAAAATGTAGGCACACCTGACCTTTACCCCCAAAGAGTAGAGTGGTTGTCCATGAAGACCACAACTTATGCAAAGTGTGAGAAAACATACAAACAGATGTGGAACATGTTGGTTTCTTATGTCTTCATTAAGTTTAATAGAAGCCATATAATATTATACTTTCAAAGAAAAGGAATAAAACCAAGTAAAGATTCCTCAGAAAATTTCTTGATAATTATTTTATATATTTATGAGTAAAAATATAATTTATATTATGAGGGGTAAAAATAGATAATTATGAACATTCGGTCATTTATCAGTTTTGAAAACAAACAGTCTCGTTGATTCTGCTTTCAGATTTGAGCACCACCTCTTATCAATCAAAAGTGAAAAAAGACTTCAACACCTCTTAAAAAAAACGAACACCACCTTATTGTTAAATCGTTATGAAGATGACTCACCCTATTATCACGGTTTCCATGAGGACTGCTGGCAATTTTAGGCCTAAATGCATTCGGATTACGTTCCAAAGTACTTTCGACTGCATCTCTTCTAGCAGGCTCGTTTTCAATGTTGTTATGACAATTGACACAGTTGCAACCATCGCAATATATTCCCGAAGCGAAACATTCACAATATCTGATCACCAAAATGAAATGAGTTTCCCATCGTTAAAATCATCCAACTAATAATATGTAGCACAAAGGGCATGTCTGTTAGCAGCTTAGGGGCTGTTTGTTAGCAGATTAATGGGACTCACAGCTTATTCGATCAGCTATACATGACTGTTTGATAGTGGCTTAATGATATAAAAGTGGCTTATTCAGTAAGCTTTTAGGGGTGAGCTTTATGCAGAAAGCCAACTTTTTTCCTAACCTGCCTCTTCCAATTAAAATAACACACTCCCTTCTATGAAAAAACCATCCAAACAAAAACCTTCTCAATCTATACAGACACATTAATTCACACAGACAGTTTTATCCATAAAGGACTTTAGAGGCTATTTGGTTGGTTTTCCGTTAAGTCTTGTACGAATAAAATTGTATGTGTCGATTAATCTGTCTGTATAGATTGAAAAGATTTTTGTTTGGGAGGGTTTTTCATGGATGGAAGGAGTGTGTTCTTAAATTGGGGGCAGGTTTGGCTTTCTGCATGAAGCTCCCCCTAGAAGCTTATATAAACCACTTTCTATATCATTAAGCCACTACCAAACAGTCATGTATAGCTGACCGAATAAGTTGTGAGTCCCATTAAGCTCACTAAGCTGCTAACAAACAGACCCTAAGGGTAGTTCGGGAAAAAATCGTTTTTTTAATTGGGAGGGACATGTTCGGAAAAAACTTGGCTTTCTGCATAAAGCTTCCCACTAGAAGCTTACTGAATAAGCTACTTTCTATATCATTAAGCCACTACCAAACACTCATGTACAGCCGACAGAATAAGTTGTGAGTCCTGTTAAGCTCATTAAGGAGATGTTTGGTTGGTTGAATAAGCTGTGAGTCCTGTTAAGCTTACTGTATAAGCCACTACCCTTGTCTGGTTTAGAAAATTTCAAGAGCCGAAGGGAGTTCAACTATTAGAACTCGTTTTTTAATTGGGAGGGGCAGGTTTGGCTTTCTGCATAAAGCTCCCCCTATAAGCTTACAGTATAAACCACTTTTTATATCATTAAGATTTAAGCCACTACCAAACAGTCATTTATAGCTGACTGAATAAGTTGTGAGTCCCATTAAGCTTACTAAGCTGCTAACAAACAGACCCTAAGGGTAGTGGCTTATACAGTAAGCTTAACAGGACTCGCAGCTTATTCAACCAACCAAACATCCCCTTAATGAGCTTAACAGGACTCACAACTTATTCAGTCGGCTATACATGAGTGTTTGGTAGTAGCTTAATAATATAGAAATGAGCTTATTCAGTAAGCTTCTAGTGGGAAGCTTTATGCAAAAAGCCAAGTTTTTTTCCATACTTGTCCCTCCCAATTAAAAACCGAGTTCCTTCTATCTACGAAAAACCCTCCAAAACGAAAACCTTCCCAATCTATACAGATAGATTAATCCGCACAGACAACTTTATTCATATAGAACTTAATGTAACCAACCAAGCAACCTCAATGTCTGGTTTAGAAAATTTCAAGAGCTGAAGGGAGTTCAAACTGTTAATGCAAATATGCAATATTCATAGTGAATCATCATATTATTCATTTGTTCTCCAAAATAATCTCCCCTAATGAGTCTAGCAATTATCAAATGCTTAAATAGAAAATGAATCCAAATCTGTATTGAAAGCATGTAGGTAAATGATACATGGAAGTGTCATTTGGTTATTTAAAATGTGTACTAATTACATATTCCTAAAATTGTGTCATTTTTAATGTGTACATTTATTTTGGAATGAGTATAAAATAAGACAAATATTAACTATAAAAAGTACAATTTAATTAAAAATGACATCAAAGTGGTTTTTTGCAACACCCAAGTGGTTTCTCCTTCTTTTTTCATTGTTGTTACCAAAAAAGAATAAAAAAGATCCGACCTTGCAACCTGTAATGCCACATGCAATGACACTACCAATAGGTTGCGGCCATTTTGTTGAACTTAGGTGAGCACACATCAATTAAAGTGGGATCACCTTTAAGACCTCTAAAAAAAATCCATTGTGTCATAGAGCGGGAACACGGGCACCCCCTAGGCTATTACTGAATCCACCCTTGGATATATGAATTCGAAAATTTTCTAAAGATTTGAGGACAAGAAGGTTTATTTATAGACATGCATGTAATACACGTGTTTGTATCCTATATATACTTAAAAAGGAAGATCTTTAAAAGAAAGACGTTATCTCATAATTCATACGTTACATACATAAAAGTAAATACATAATGATGGTTGACCAATTTGTTTCAAAGTTGACTAAGGGTATGTTTGTTATTTGTTAGCAGCTTAATGAGCTTAATGGGACTCACAGCTTATTCAGTCAGCTATACATGACTATTCGTAACCAAGTTTTTTCCAAACGTGACCTTCCTTGCTCATTCGATCTATGAAAAACCCTCTCAAAGAAAACCTTTCCAATCTATACAAACAGATTAATCCACACAGACATATTTATCCATACAGGACTTAATGAAAAACCAACCAAACAACCCCTAAGAAAACAATTCAGTATGCGATTGCTAATTTTTGTGCATGAAGGCTTGCGTCTACGTCTAAATGTCAGATTTCTGAGCAAAATTTATTACGAGAATGGATAGATGAATATACTCTCTCCATCCCAAATAAATGCCCACAATAAAAAGGCACACGGTTTTAGAAAATGTAAAGATTACACTTTTAATTAACAAATGACAATTTTACCCTTAATAATGGAGGTAATGAATTTCTCCACCTCATAATTAAGGGCAGAATTGAAAAGTGGACACTAGGACATATTTTTTACTTTGTGTACATATTAATGAAATTAGCATTTTCATATTTAATTAATAATTCAGTAAATGCCATTCGATAAGTGGCCGTTCAAGACTAAAAAACAACCTTTATTTCAAGAAAAATAACTGCAGCCAAAACTCCAATTCACATGTCGATTCTTGAATAAAGATTTTACTAACAACAAAACTATGAAACAATTTTGTACAAAAGAAACTGAAGAGAAAAATAGCACTTACAATTTCAAGCATCGTGAGTGTTTACAATTGCACTGCTTTTGCTTCTTCGGGGTACCATCTTTTACTTCGGCATTCGGTCTTGGTCGGGACTTCGGGGATTCTGGTTTCCTGGAACGACAAAAATATAGTGTTTTCCATTTATAAATGAAGTTTAGGATTTCATGAAGCGGGAAATACTGCATGTCATAATATATATATATATGTTCAGGGGAAAACCGCAAAAATTGAAAATTGAGAAACACCCTCGTAACCGTCCATCTAGACGGTATGCACATGTGCATACAAGTAATTTCTAAGCAATTTGTATGGTATGCACATGTGCGTAACATGCACACGTGCATAAAAACCAAAAAACAGCTTCAATTACTTTTATGCACATGTGCATACCATCCAGATGAACTGCTACCAGGGTGTTCCTCAGTTTTTCATTTTTTGGGGTTTTCCCCTAAACCTATCTCTATGTGTGTGTGTGTGTGTATTGAATATATGGATGCATCATATATATGTTCTTGATGCATATTTATAGTGTCAAGTGCTTGAACAAAAAAAATGCATCATCAAATGCATAAAATATGTAGGAGACTCGTTGTTCACGATTAAATCATACGGGTTCGAATCATGCAAAAAAGATAATAAAGCGTTCAAAGACAGAAAGGGAATTAGACAGAACAAGAAAGAAAATTTGGTTGCCATTTTTTTCTTGTTAAAACAATCGAACAAATAGTAATAATTTATGTTGGTCTTTAATCAACAAATTACCATCAAACTATCTATAGTTACTCTTTCTGTTGTTTTTGGCATTTGGCGGGATTTGGAGTTGAATTCCATTCCAACCCCGCGTTTATAGTTTGTTTTTATAAATCATCTATAACGAACGGAATTCAATTTCATTCCAAATCCTACAAACCAAACACACCAAAGATTGCAAATCTTTCCAATTCCAAAGCCTTCTATGAAATCCAAATCCCTCAAAATCATTCCATGAAACCAAACGAACCTTAAAAGGTAAATCATTCTTAGCAATTTAGCATGACCTATTTAATGAGGCGGCAATAAACAAATACAAGTTCCTAACTCGCACACATAATATAGCTACCATCGTCTATTACAAATCCCCTTAACAATACAAATAGCACAAGCCACCTTCACGTCAAGATACCTAGCTATCATGGAAAACACATCTTCCCCATGGTCACCATCCGAAGTGTTAGGATCGTTAAAGATTCAGTGATTTGCCTGCATCTAAAATAATTGGCTATATTCTTAATATACTTCATAATTCCAATAGTACATGAAAAAACAATATAGTTTGGTTCCTTTATAACAAGAAACCAAACAAAAAGGGATGTGACAGCCGCTGTGGCGCCGTGGCTCAAGGCTCATGTCAGACCCCGCGTTGCCTATGGCACGCCATACACCAGTTCGTGGTTTTTGTAACGTGATATTTGTTTTTTTACCCTTTCAGTGTCTTGCTTTTTAGTTTTAAGTATATAACTTAACTTAAATTGTTTAATATCATTGACTCTTTGAGTAATAGTAGAAACATACATGTGTCTATATAATTATATATATGATATACAGTTTTGCCTCCATAAGTCACGCCTTGACAAACGCAGTAGCCTTGTCGTGGCTCCTAAAGCTTGAGGCTTGACTTCGCCAAAAGAGCTACATTATATACTTTCAGTTTCGATCTTTGTGCTTTTCAAAGGAAAGATCAATACGGGTTTTCTTGCGAACTTTATTGAGACCATTTGTTAAAAGGCAAGATGGGCAAGTAAAATTGCCTCAAAAAGTTTAGAAATCCATGGCACTTTGATACAGTCAAATTTCTCAACCTAAATTGTAAAGAAAATAACAATATAGGGCAATTAAAGAACCTTCAATATCTAAATTCAAAGTATTTTATACTTGAAATCTAACTGAGATTATGAAGTTCTAAAAAATGTTGGAATTTTGAAGGTTTTTCAAATTGCAAATATGTTTGATTACGACTAACGAGGGAGGTTCAGGGGAAAACCCAAAAAAAATGAAAAATTGTGGAACACCGTCGTAAACATTGGTCTAGAAGATATGAACATGTACATACAAGTAATTGAAGTTGTTTTTTGTGTGCATGTTGTACACATGTGCATACCAGAAAAATTATTGCTTACATATTACTTGTATACACGTGTGCATACCATCCGGCTGAACGGTTGTTCCTTAGTTTTTCATTATTTTGAGGGTTTTGACCAACCTGAACGCCCCTATGACTAATAATCAAAAACCCCATTAATGTTCGAACATATTTATGAAATCAAACACCCATTTGATTGAAATTTAAATTAACAATTCGAAGAATACTCACACAGGTCTTAAATTTTGTTGATGAACAATTGCACCATGAGAATGCTGCATCGCCGGAATTAATGGTGGTGGTGGTGGTTGTTGTTGCGGCGGCGACTGTATTGGCGATGGCGGGGCCGGCGGCGGGGGCTGATGAATCTGCACCACAACTGGCCGCTGAGGGTGTTCCGGTAAAACCACCGGAGTCACTGCCGCCGGCTGACTACCGCCACCAACGATGTTAAAATCCAGCTGCCGTGCGAGCTTTTTTGCCGCCGGGAAATCCGTCGTCGCCTCCGCCACCTCCGATTGATTCGTTTTCGGAGGGAAATTCAAATCCCCCCCGCCTTCACTTTTCTCCATTATTATCTCGCCAAATTCCAATCCTTTTCATCAAGAAACTTTACAAAATCATAAGAACACAAAAAAACACTAAATTCCCCAAATTCAAACACAATTCAACAACCATTTGAATCAAAAACAAGAACCCAATACACAATCAATTTAAAACAATCAAAACTTGTAATCACTCCCACATAAACAGCTCAGATTCACAACCTCAAATTCATCAAAACACTTAACCCCAGATCAAAACCTCACCCATCAAACAATCTCCGAAGCCCAATAATCTCTATGAACAAAAACCCGGTTTAGATTCGACAAGATTTGAGATGATAAATTTTGGAAAAGGGGAAAAATAGAGGAGCGAAAATTGTAGACTAGTTTTTCTTTGCTCCCTCTCTTGAGCTTTTGAAATTCAATTTTTATAAATAATTAACGGTGGATTAAGCGTTGGTATTTTGATCGGATGGTTGAGATTGAAAGTTGGATCCGACGGTTATAATTCATAACAGGGTCCATGGATGATTCTTGACCGTTTGATTCATAAGATGCCATAGAAATATCTCTATTACTTCTTGGACTTGACCCATAGATGTAACTAAATAATAACGTATTTTTATTTATTTTTTATTTAATTATATTATATTTTATTATTAATTATTAGTGAAATGAATTTAATTTGGTATGAAAGTGATATTTTATAGATTTTTCAGTTAGAATTACCCAAAATAATCGATTTTTAAAATACCGTATTTTTGGTAATAATCGATTTAAATTCAAATTAAATATTTTATTTTTTATCGGAATTACCAAGTTTAAAATAATATATTTTAATAAAATACCGTGTTATTATTTAAATTTTTATTGTTTTTAAAAATATAATTATGTTGTCTCGACTGTATTATTTGCTTTCGATCAGCTCAGTACCACCTGTTTTGATCTGCATAACAGAATATTGTTATAGTTGTAATTCAGTTCGACCCATCTTATACCCTACTTTACAAGGTTCCGATGTTTACCGAATCATAATGGATACTCAATCAAAGTTTAAAACACGGTTGTGCGTCACTCGGCAACTGAATTTGAGATGCTTCAGCAATTTGAAGCAACTGAAGTTGAGATTCAGTTACAATCTGTAATACTGGAATGAATAAACATGGACTAACACTGCGTCAAACTTGGGGCATTTATAGCATTTCCAACAGATTCTTTAAAATTGAAATTTTGGTGATTTTTGCTCCAACAAATTCCCCAAAATGTTCTTCAAATGGAGAAAGATGATGAAATTCTCCAAATTTGGAGATTTCTCCAAAAAATTACTTACGAGTGAAAAATGTTTTTTTATTGATTCTAGGTATGGGTGTGCAGAAAACCGACTGATCCAATTAGAACCGACCGACCATAATTGGATATCCAATTGTAATTGAAATCCGATCGAATTGAAAATTTTCAACATCCAATTTGGATCGGTCGGTTCTCGATTGACAGTCCAAAACTGAGCCGAACCGATCAACATCCAATTAATCATTTGATAATCATCCAGTTGTTCATCCAACCATTATCCAATTAATTTATTTTCAAATTGCTTAAATTGGAATTTGTTTTATATGAGACTTTGAATTTTTAATTTTATTTGTGTTGGTTTTGACACGTATTAAAAGTGATTAATCAATTTGTATCATTTTTGGAGAATTCGATTAAATTGACACTCTGAATATATCCAATCCCAGAGGATCATCCATTGGATATCCAATTGATGGAACCGAGTCGAATCCAATCATCAGTTGTATTAGATTGGATCGGTTCAATCCCAGAGGATCAGCCAATGGATGGAATCGAATCCAATCATCAGTTGTATTGGATTTGATCGGTTATCCAATGTTAATTGGATCGGATCGGTTGGCAAAATCCAACATTCCATATATTGTTGGATCGGATCGGTTCCTCTTACATCCAATGGATGTCAACCGATGAACAGCCCTAAATTTCTACCAATGAGATTGTTTGAATTTAAATATTTGGAATATAAAAATAAATTTTAATGAGATGTATTAAATATTTTAATAATATAATCAATTCAGTATTTTTCAAAATAGATAACCTGTTAGAGGCGAAGGTGGTTTTTTTCCATTTGAGATGTTGACTTTTTACTTACCCATTTTGGAGAATTTGTTGGAAATGCTCTTGGAACATAAAATTTCTAATTTAAGTTAAATACTGTTACTTATATGTACGTTAAGTGGGTTTACGGTTTTCAAATGAAATGGCTGATAAACACATTTAACCTGAAACCATGATATATTGCAAGGCAAACATGTAATGAAACATTAAAAACTGAACTGATATAAGCATAATTCAATATATATACATATAATTTATGATATAAACTGTAAGAATTATCATGCATACAGACAAGTTGAATTACTACATGGAAATAATTGCATACATATAAGATCTCACTGCTAGACCGACAAATTGACATACTGGGGATAATGTGTCACGTATTAACAAGCCGACTATAGACAATAGTAACCATATTGTAAAGTGGTAATATATGATTCAACTGAGAATAAAAGGTACCATTGCAATATATGAACCAAATTTGTGCAGCTTTACAGTGTCCCGTCTGATACTACTGGTGTTCTGATACATGACCCCTCATATCTAAGAAAACAGTTTATTGCATAACATTTAACATACTGAAACATCTGGCATGTTTGAAGGTTTTAGAAACTCACAGTACATACGTAACTTATCTGAAAGACGTTAAATCATATTCACATGTAAATGGTTGTTTGTTTACCTCTTAATAGTTCCACTAAGATGCATAACTGAATCGTTAAGAGGTGAATATTGTTTGACAAAAAAAAAAATACGTCTCTTAACAGTTTTAAAACCCTCTGAATGATTTTGTATATGGGTCTCCCTTAATCATTCAACGTCATAATTTCATTGTAAACAATTATATTTCACTTTGTATTACATCATAAGAGCATATTAATCATTATGACCACTTAATCATTCTGTACCAAATCATTCAGCAACTGCCAGACAGCCTCTAAGTTTCTTACTTTCAAGTCTTATCAAAAAATTATCAAACACTTATCCGGGTAAACGTTTACCAAGTCATATTACCTTACTGAATGAGTACAACAAAGACCAAGAATCTTATCTGGTAAAAACAAGGCAATGACCAAAAGTCTTACCTGGTAAGTGAGGTCGAATACTCTTTATCCGATAAGTGAGGTCAACAACTCTTACCATGATTAACACTTACCGAATAAATTATTGCATAAGATGTTATTTTTGTTGACTAAAATCTTACCTAATAAATAAATAATAGTATTATATTTTACCAGTAAACGTTTATCAAATAAATATTTAATAAACGTACCCTAAATTCAGCAAACCTACAATTAAGAATTTCAATGAAATGCTTTATTAGTAACATGAGATAAAATGGAGATATTTTTTACTAAGAGACAAGGTGAAATGTAGTCAACGGTCGAGATGAGAAGACCACAATAAATAGGGTGGGGGTGAGAAGTTGTTAAACATAAATGCAGCAGCCTTCTAGAAGTCTTTTCGCCTAATAAATTCCGTATCATTGGATCGTATTTATTTGTGTTATGTAAGTTGGGTTAATCTTAAAGTTATCATCTGTTTTACAGATAGTCTTAAATTATCGTATTTGAATTTTTGTGACTACAAGAGAATTTTTATTTCTTCTTGGATTTGAACATGAGACTTCCAGATACTTTTGTCTTTTGGAGGCAAACTCAAACCAATCAGACACCACGCTTATGGTTGACTCTACTTTATAGTTATGGTTTATTGTCAGAATCAGATTAAATCATGTATTAAAAAGGTAAAAAAAAAAACATAAGGTTTTTTAAAATGAGTGAGCTAAAAACATCTTCAATGGATTCTTCAAAAATGAATAATTAAAAGTTAAATTTTTTAATTTTTTTAATATTTACAACTGTTTCACCATTTTTTAGATCATATTATTAATTATATTATTAAAATATTTATTATACTTAATAAAATATCGTTTCTCTACCATTAACATTTAATTTCAAGATTTTTTTTTGGTAGAAAAAATAAAAAATAAGTAATCATTTTTAGAGAGTTCTCTAAATTTAGAGAATTTCAACACATTTTTCTTGTTTTCTCTGTTTTGGAAAATGATTTGGGAAATTTGTTAGAGCAAAGAACTTCGTTTTAGATAATCTGTTGGAGATGTTTAAATGCACCATAACCTACACATTTTCTCATCATACACATCAATATCATGACCTACTTTATATATACATATAGAGAGAGAGAGAGACTTGAGATCATGTGAGACAAAAAGTTTTTTGTGAGATCCGTAAGACCAATTATCAACCCTTTGATTAGATCTATAATCTGAACATTCATAATCACAAAATTGCCATGAGACTTCTCAATAATCACAAAATTGCCACCGTGCAACTTTAGACCATTAGATTTGGATCCTTGATCATTTTTAAAATTTAATTTAACCCGATCTAATGAATTACGCTTGATATATGAATTAATCTGATACATATAGGTGCGTTTTATTAGTGCCGATCTTCAATTAAAATTGATCAAAACGTGGAGATTCCTTCTTACCTTTTTCACTATAACCCAACCCTCTTTAATAAATAAGTCGAAATAAATGCATTTAAATAATTTTTTTATTGGGTCTAAGCAATGAACTTGGGGGTGATTTTGCCAGTTTGTTATAATACAGGGGTGTTATTGTTATTTATACAACATTTAAGGTATTTGTTGTAAATGAGCCCATATTTGTTTCCCGCTGGGTAAATTATGTTTTTCATCCCTTTCTTTCGATTGCAATTTATTATAATTTTTTTAATTAACTTGGATATCCAATCCGTTATGGAGCCGACTAATCCTAATACGACCACCTGCTTTGCAGATAGTCTGAAGTCACCGCATTTGAACCTACGTGGCCACAAGGGGATTTTATTCCTCCTTAGATTTGAACTTGAGACCTCCTGATACTTTTGACCTTTGAAGCCAAGTTAAAACCAATCAGACACCACTCCTGATACATTTGAAGACTGTTTGTTTTTGTAAGCTGATTACTATATGAATTTGTTTAAATTGTCTATTTTACCGATTAGAAAATTGTAACGTTGAATTTACAGATAAATTTATACAATTTTATATATTTATTCGTCGTCATTGCGAAATTTATATTTAAATTATATAATTAACATTCATTTAAACGAAAATATGCCATTAACGATATTTAACACATTTAAATTATATTAAAATACACCAATTAAGAGATTTGATGATCGATTTGGTAATGATCAATTGAGACAACTGATCGATTAAGGTTAATTAATTGAGAAACGTCGTTGTTAAAGGCTTCAAGAACAATAAGAGGCAAATAAGAGATTGGTTTACCTCTTACCAGATAAGATGACAATAAGTTACAAGCGCCATTTGAAGAATTGGAAAAAAACAAACAGTCTGAATGACCCTATCTCTTAACAGATCAGATATAAGAGGCTAACAAGAGTTTTTTTTTCCTTTCAAAAAACAAACAAGGCCTTAGGTGTTGTTTGACAGTTGCTGAATAGTTTTGTGCAGAATGATTAAGTGGTCAGAATGATTAAGGGGTTGTTTACCAAACACTTACCCGATAAGTGTTTATCCATAAAATTTAGCAATACTATTTACTTACTGGGTAAGATTTTGGTCCACCAAAACAACATCCTATGCAATAATTTACCTCGTAAGCACTTATCATGGTAAGAGTTGTTGCCCTCACTTCCCGGGTAAGACTCTTGGTCCTTGTTTGCCCTTATCGGATAAAATTATTGGTTTTTACCATATTCATCGAGTGAGGTTGTGTGACTTGATAAATGCTTACCCGGGTAAACATTTAGTAAACAGCCCCTAAGAGGCTCTCACGATATAGTGCAAAATGAAATATAATTGTTCGGTAATTGTTTACAATGAAATTAGGGTGCTGAATGGTTAAGTGAGGCCCATGATACAAAACCATTCAGAGGGTTTTAGAACCATTAAGAAATACTTTTTTTTCCCAAACAAGGTTCACCTTTTAGCCATTTAGAGACTGATTCTTAATGGAACTATTAAGAGGTAAACAAACAGTCCCTTAGTGTTTTTATGAACTTAGAAAAATATATGTATAATTTGTTGAAATAATGGATCGATTGGTTGAAATTTGAATCAAAGCATTGAACGAATCCAATCTGATCCAATGTATAGTAATATTCAATGGATGGAACCGATCTGATTCAATTATTCAGTTGATTGTATTGGATCAGATGGAGAAATTTAACAGCCAATGAATGATTGGATCAGATCGAATCCACGTAAATCTATTGGATTTCAACTGATGAACATTCCTATTAATTTCTACCATAAAGTACGAGAGACGAAAACAACAATAACTTGTAAACCATAAGAACGAAAACAACGATAAATTATAAATTATAAGAACGAAAACAACAATAAATTGTAAACCATAAAGTTGAAAATTGTAGTCTCAAAAGTATAGGGACTAAAAAAGAAAACAACAAACCATAGGGACTAAAAAAGTAATTTTACTATTTTCTCTTATCAAAGAGTTAAAACTAGCGGCGTGGAGGCCAAAGCACTATTAGGCGCACTATAGCAACAGCCAACATGTGTCCGGCGTATTAAAGAGACAACCACCGTTAACCGCCTTCCTCCGCTTGCATCTGAAGCAATACACATTGTGATACTCTATGTGAGGATTTAACGTGAAAATTTGGTGAAGAAACTTCTCGAACTTCTGATTACAGTGAGAACTGAAACTGCGATTTTGCTCTTCTGGATTTCTGTTTGAACGATCAGAAAAAATCGTTAGGTAAGCAGCTTGGATTTTGGTAATTTGCTTCAAATTTTTGCATGTATTTGATCGTTTGTTTGTAGGTTATCTGGTTTGTATGATATACGCTTGACGCAACGAAATAGTGATGTATAGTATGGTCGTAAGTTTGATGTTGCAGCGTGTTAGATCTAACTCCTCGTGTTGAGGTTATTGAATTTCGTGATATGTTTGAATGATGCGATGTTACATTCCGCACTCAAGTCGACGCCGATTTTGATCTCTGAGCTTATAACGAGTCATTAGTAGCAGATTAGCGACTTTGCACCATGGTTTTGTTGTTTGAGTGGTTATTCGGTGAGATTATTCCTTTTTGCCTGGGGCGGGCGCTGCTTTCAAGTTTAAAGTTCTGTGGATGATTTATCTTAATCACCATTACTTCTACTTTTTCTTTGAAGGTTTTTTTATCAGTGGTGTGATGTCCCAGCAACTGCTCCTACGTTTTGTTCAGTAAAGTTATATTTATTTCCAGAGTTGAATTTAAGAGTTTTATTGGTTATGGCATTCGTAATTTAGTGTTGTGAAGCTTAATTTTGTATATGGTGTTCTGTTTTAATGGGTATATTGGTTGATGACGTTTTGTTTTAATGGATTTGGTGACAGTGTCTTAGAGTTATCAGAGTTGCACAATCCAGAGTCAAGTTTGGACAGGTAGTGGCATGCAGGTGCAGGTACACCCACACGGTTCTGCCTCCATGTACAAGCGTGTGCCGTCCAAGGACAGCACAAATTCAGTTGACCTAGAAGATGATTCTGGTAACCCTCTGATTATTTATCGTATATTTCTGCTCCGATACGGATGCCTTTTGTTCTGTTAAAATGGTCATCATGAAGTTAATACTTGAACTTGTAAAAAGTTTTGTGAACTTAGGTGTTTACAAATAATACCTTTTATATTGCAAAAAGGTGAAGCTTCGGTTCTGTAATTTTGTTTTGCTGCATCTCAAAGGCGAAGATATGTCTTAATAATTGGACTATTGAATGTAGTTGGGTTTCAAATTTATTATGAGTATTCCACCATCATTAACTGCCACCACCTTCTGTATTCTTACTGTTGTACCTAGTTGTATACTTGGGAAGTTAATATTGTTTTAGTTATCGTCAATCGGATATTTCAAGTTCAACATTTGTTTTTTGGGTAACGAGGGAGTACAACTTGGGAAGCATTACAATTGTAAAATTAACTTGGAACAGAAAAAGAAAATATTGCTCCTTCAGATGTTTGGACCTTTTAAGTGGGATGTGTCATCTAGCACAAAAGCTTCTGGTAGATTTGTTGATTTGTCAAAAATCTATGAAAGTAAGAAGCTTAGGGGTTGTTAATGGATATATGTGACTACCATAAGAGGTTATCGTGCCAATTTAATTTCTAATTAACTGTTACTCGGGCAATAATTTGGAGTTTCATTATGCTGAAAATATTGTTTGTTCGTGTAGCACTTTTGCAGGATGGTATGGTCCAAGAATCTATGGATCCACCCTCAAGACGTTCTCTGCCTCATGTACTTGTGGCATCCATAGTTTCGTTCTTATTTGGCTACCATCTTGGGTTCGTTCTCAATCTAGATATCTCTTGTTTTCATTGCCCCCTTCACCTCAAGCAAAGTTATGAGCATCCTTGTATACGTGTTCCAAAAGAGTCTCGCCTTATATAATGCAAAACATAGTGGAGTAGTGGTTACTGGTAACTTAACAGAACATAACAAGATACAGATAGCTTGTCTATTCTCAAATGTTTTGCAGAGTATATTCGTAAAAAGGAGATATTAATTTACAACAAGATTGAATATAATCCACGTAGTAAGAAACTCAAAGTTTGTGATATGTAAACCATGTTCCTTTATATGCAGTGTGGTGAACGAACCGCTTGAAAGCATTGCCAATGATCTTGGTTTCAGCGGGAATAGCCTAGCTGAAGGTGTCTTCTCATTTTCACAGAACATTCATCCTCTGTTTTTCTGCTATCTGCATTTAAACTATATCTTACGAGCTTCTGTACATTGTAAATAAAGGTCTGGTGGTTAGCACATGTCTTGGTGGTGCCTTTCTTGGGTCTCTGTTCAGTGGTTATATTGCTGATGGAGTTGGGCGCCGCAGGTCCTTTCAGTTTTGTGCTTTGCCTATGATCATCGGTGCTTGCTGTAGGTAATAATATTTTCAAGAAAGTTTTACAAGTTTACTTTGCTAATCTAGATATCCATTATCTCATTCATAATTACGTCATTCATCCTGGTTCTAGACTAAGAAAGGTGATATAGAGCGAGTTTTAGAAGGATGACACATGCATCATCTTCAAGTTTAGTTTGTTGACTGCTAATTTTCACAGTATAATTTTTATCACTTGCCTTGGTATCTCATGTTTGCCTTTTTCAATTGCTGTCAGACCATGTGTTAAGGGATCTCTATTGCACATGCATAAGGAAGGTCTTCTTTTGTTATAATTGTGCACCTAATATAAAAGTCCTTTGGCACCTGCCAACAAAATAGTAATTAGGAGTGGTGGAGGAACTATCTATAATGAAATCTTACTCCACGGTTAGAGTGATCAATCTTGCTTTAGACTGGGACTCATGGGGTGAGCTGGGAGTCAGAGATAATATCTATTGCCAATAGTACACCAAGTCAGAGACAATGGTAAAATATACAAAATCAGTTAAGACGACATGATCTTTACAGCTCCGTTCTTCATCCAAGGGAACAAATGACACTTGTTTACATGACATCTAAAAGGATAACAGTCCTCAAGTATCAGCAACTAGTTTGTACAAATTTTATCTCAAAACTATCCAGGTAGTTTGTTTCTGTTCCTCTCTCCAGTTCTTCACTTGGACTCGTCTTTTTATCTTGGTATATAAGGTTGTATCACCTATCTGCTCTCTACTATCTTATCTATGGCTAAATGCCAACCATAGTGCCTACTTTGAGTAGTGGCCTCCTAAAATAGCAACTGATGTTGCTTTACCCTTCAAACTGAACATTTATGGAGGATGCTTAAGCTAAACTTAGAACATGCTTTCATCTTTCTGCTTTTAGTGCCTTAACTACATATGATTGGATTGAAACTATACGTGTTCTCTACTGGTGGTAGCTGTCTGTCCTCCGTTTCTTGTGTGGGTCCTGCATGAAGATCAAGTTTCCGTGTGCTATCTAGGTTTGTGTCTTGAGAACGCCTCCTTAATGGCAAGTTGATTGCATGAAAATCATTAGTGTCCTGGAGAATGTGGTCAAATTTGTCTGATAAGTAGTGGATGCATACAAAACGGGAAGTTGCATTTGAATGCTCATGCCTTCGTTATCATGGGACAAGAGGTTTATCTCATAGGACCACTGATACAGAAGTCAAACTTTAATACAGTTACAAGGAGGGTGAAGGGTGAAATTAAGCACTTAGAACCTGTTTGTGCAGTGCGGCCTACTATCTGTGAAACATGACTTCTGTTATGGACTTGATGCCACCTTATGGCAGATAGTATGGTGGATTGTGCTTACACATCACACATCCAATCAGGAAACTACTAGAAAGACATAAGAGATACTCTCTCCATCTGATAAAATGCAACGTTTCACCTAACACATGGTCTAATAAAAATATTTAACCATTATGTAAATGTCTAACATGCCCCTTAGTAAAGATGGAATAAAAAAAGCTTGTGGACAATAATCAAAGTTACTAAATTTAAGTATTGATTACCAAGGGGCAAAAAGTAAAGTTGGTTTAAAAACTCACCCAAAAAGGAAATATTGCATTTTTTTGGAAGTATCCCAATATAGGAAGGGTTGCATTTTTTTGCGACGAAGGGAGTATAATCTACATAACCAGTCTGCTCTTAAGTTAATGCAACCTTTTACCTGACAATGTGGTATTAATTGTGGTTGCACTCGAGGCCTTTGAGCAAGGAACTACAAACAGACACTGGTTATTGGTAAACTCCCTTAGGTGATCACTTCAAATTCAAAACATTTTTTAGTTTTATGCTCTCGACATATACAACTCAGTCAGCTACTCGGAGTTGATTCCATTGGGAGATTCAAAAAGTTTTATGAAGGCTGTCAGTTAGATTTGGCTCAAAACTTTAAGATCCTTCAGTTAGATATTATTGTTTAAAGAGACAATTCATGCATGATACATAGCGAATGAATGCAAGGGAAAAAGAAAAGAGAAAGGCCTGTTAATATAAGCTGTGAAGAACTATATCATTTATTTGTGATGCTTAATTTTATGTTATCTTTGACAACTCTTAGTTTTACATTAATTGACCTACAGATTGTTTACATCCTGCATGAACTTCAATTCTTTTGCTTAATCACTCATTTTGCATGCTCTCATGATGCCCTAACTCCTTATGAGGTCTGCTTTATCATATTTTTTCATCTGTGTATAGTCTTTTGTAGACATGCTAATATATACTTTTTCAGTGCAACAAGCAATAATTTGACAGGGATGCTACTTGGGAGGTTTCTTGTTGGAATTGGGTTGGGTATTGGTCCTCCTGTCGCATCTCTCTATATCACAGAGGTCAACCTGTCCTACCTTTTGTTTGGATATGGGTATCCTATGGGATCTTTAAAAATGCATCACTTATCAAATTCTTGTGATTTCTAGCAGGTTTCGCCTCCTTCTGTGCGTGGTACATATGGCAGCTTCATTCAAATTTCAACATGTTTAGGGTTAATGGGGGCTCTTTTGATAGGGATCCCTGTTAAGAGTATCCCAGGCTGGTAAGGAAATAATTGGATGCTACAATATATCTACAGATTTCTTTTGCTCTCTCTAATTTAGAAACTGTCGTAGATATTTTAGGGTCATAACTTGGACCTTTGTGCTCAGGTGGCGTATGTGCTTTTGGCTATCTACAATTCCATCCACAGTACTTGCTCTTGCTATGGTATTCTGTGCAGAAAGTCCACATTGGCTTTACAAGGTTTGTTGTTATCTTTATTTCTACTTTCACGCAATGGTTTATCTTTCTCCATTGTCCTCTATCGTTTCTTGTGTGGGTGGTGACTTTTATGGATGACCATGTTCATTAAAGACCATGCTCTTGTTTAATCCATTATCACGCTCATGGTAACGCATTTGTTATATGAGTAACATGTTCCATATGCATTCATATGAGCATATACATACACATGCACACATGCATATATATATATATATATATATATATAGAGAGAGAGAGAGAGAGAGAGAGAGAGAGAGAGAGAGAAAGAGACTTGTGATCACGTGAGACCAGCCTGTTTTCGTGAGACCCGTGAGACCACTCTTTTAAACTTGAAACTTCACAGCAGAACGTTGTGAAGGTAACCTTCTCAGTGTTTATGCTGTGAAGGTTTGGCTTTTTTTTACCTTTACAACTTTTTGCTGTGAAGTTTTCAAGTGTAAAAAAGTGGTCATGCGGGTCTCACGAAAACAAGCTGGTGTCACGTGAACCCAACCCTATATATATGTATGTATGTGTATCAATGTATATGTGTGTGTGCTTATATGTTTGTATGTATGTTTGAACACACACGAATATCAGAGGATTTTGTATGTTAGGGGACGTATACCAACCACCCTCACTTACCTTACCGGGTAAGATTCACGGCCATCAAAATAGTATAGTGTAAACGTCCCTTACCCAATAAGCGCTAACCGGGTAAGAGTCACCACCCACACTTACCGGGTAAGATTCTCAGTCTGCAAAACGGAACGGTAAGATTGTTGGTAAAGTCCATCATCTTTTTTCGGGTGTCTCTTACCCGGTAAGAGGCAATAAGTGTTTAGTTACCCGGAAAGAGGTAGTCAGTGTTTAGCAAGCAGCCCCTTACTCTATGCACATCATAGATCAGATGACCTACAAAGTTCCACCATACATCAAACAACTCATATATTAATAGCATATTACATGCTCATGCTTGAACCTGATGTGAAATTCCTCCTATGCTTGATAGAAAGGAAGAAATACTGAAGCAGAGGTCGAGTTCCAGAAACTTTTAGGGGCTACAAATGTCAGACCGGCAATGGCAGAGCTGTTGAAGTCGGACAGGGGGGATGAGAATGAGACTGTTGGGATTTCAGAACTGCTCTATGGGCGCCATTTTAGAGGTAACTGTGGATTTTGAGGGACTAATCCAGGGTTTACAAGCATGTACATATCTTCTACTCCCTCCATCCCAAATGGATGTCTACAATGAAAAAAAACATAAGAGTTCTAGGAAATGTGTAATTATTACACTTTTTAATTAACTAAAAGCCAATCATCAGTTCCCAACAATGGGTCGAATGGTATATCCGATACATAAAATGAGTTAATAGAAGAAGAGAGAAAGCTTTTATTGTGTCACTTAAGTTACATAGAAATTCCTAAGCCTCAATTGGTATTTTTTGTTTATCTCCTATTTTGCAAAAAAGAAATTCAGGTAAGTGTTTTTTTATGTACAATTCCTCAATATCTTGTTCATTCGCAACAAAATATTGTCTTTGTGCGTCGGTCAAAACACATGCTTTTTTGGGGGAGAGATACTATTTCAGCAATGGAGTCCCAAGTATCTAAGGGTTTTACACAAAGTGGTGACAAAACGTATAACTTGTGCAAATCTTTCCATTTTCCAAGTCGATCCAATCTATTCGTTCGTAAATCTATTTTCTTGATCGCCAACATTTGTGGAACACCTCTAACAGAGGGACAAATAGTCAATTTTGAAAGAACTTATTGTCAACAATAGAAGTAATGAATTTCTCCATCGTATATTACGGGTAAAATTGGAAAGTAGGCACTTCCTTTTGAAAGTGGACACTTATTTTGGGACAAACTAAAATATAAACACCGACACTTATTTTGAAAGGAGGGAGTATTTAGTTTTGTCTTAGGCTGCCCGCCACTGCTTCTGTTTTGTCCACCGCAAAATGCCTTGTTATTCACTTGTTCCTTTTGCAGTTGTTTTTATTGGATCAACCCTGTTTGCTTTACAACAGCTATCTGGCATAAATGCTGTATTTTATTTCTCTTCAACTGTATTTAGAAGTGCGGGAGTTTCGTCAAACCTTGCCAACGCCTTTGTGGGGATCGTTAATCTATTGGGTAATCAGCTCTCTCACCATCTCTCTTTGGCATTTAATTCATTGTTATCCTACTTGCTTTAATTATCAAGTATCACATGGTTTCTGACTTGAGAGTTGTTCAGGATCTATCATTGCGTTGCTTCTGATGGATAAACTTGGGAGGAAGGTTCTCCTTCTGTGGAGCTTCTTTGGCATGGTAATTTTCGTACATCTATAGTTGTTTTATGCATAATTAAATTGTTAATTGCATAATGAACATGCTAAGGAAGTAGGTGTACAGTTTTCTATAAATGTAGGTTATGTCAGTCCCTAACTGAAGGTCCAAAATAAACCATCTCCCTTGCCAGCCCCAAAATAACACCCTAACAAATGCGTCGGGAAACTATGGGGCAATGACCTCGATCCATGTCCTGTCATCATTCATGGGTCATTCAGTTAAATGATCTTCTGACAGTTTTTTCTTTTAAATCCATGACCTTTTTGACAAGTTTTGAGAATGCCACTGCATAACTGAAGAATGCATCTTTCATTTCGGTCCAGTGGTTGAATGACTTTCTCACAATTTTCTATTAAATCCATGACCTTTTGACACGTCTGAGAATGCCACTTCTATATACAAGAATGCCACTAATTTTATCCGAAGGTTATGTTGTTAATAAAAATCTTATATAAGGTTATTGAGCAAAATTGTCCTTTCATACTCAAGAATCCTAGAAACCTGTCAGAAGGTCATGGATTTAAAAAGGGTCATTTGGTTAAACAACATTCTAACTGTTCTGTTTAAATCCATGACCTTCTGACAGGTTTGAGAATACCACACTGCATATCAAAAGAATCCAACTTCTATATGCAAGAATGCCTAAAACCCTGTCAAAAGGTTTAGAGAATACTTGTCAGGAGGTCATTTAGCTATATTATCTCTTTAAAAGCACTTGTCAGGAGGTCAATTAGGGAAATAACCCCATTGTTCACACAGGAGACCAAGAACGATCCGGAGAAAATTCTCGTCCATGCGTTCCATTTTTAGAAACTATTTTCTAGCCTCTGCACTTGAGAACAACTCTTACCTTCTACCCTTCAACGTAAAATCAGGGTTAGTCATAAAATTTATTATACCATGACCTGTGATTTATCAATAGCAGCGAGTTTTGGCCGTATTTTCACCGGTTACCAATGGAAGCTGTAATACTTCTGCTGCAAATATATGCTACATATTGCCTTCTTTCAATCGAGCACATAATCTTTTTTTAGCATGCTACCTTGGGAGATTAGAGCTTGACCCTCCAAACCCTCACCAACATTATCAGAAACTCAATATCACCGTCTGTTTGTCTCCTATCAAAATGGTTTTCTAGGACCTGCAAGGTTTTTTGTACTGTGGAAGTATTTTAAATTGTAGTAATATATAGGGGCAGGTTCAATTGAGACCTGTTGATTTTTGGAGAACCTGGAAACCAACCATTCATGCTTTATTCATAATGAAAATACATGATATTGATAATGAATAATATTCATCATCATTCAGGGTTATTTATCATGAATAATAGTTGGTTCCCGATTTCTCAAAGTATTTATGGTTTTCATTTGAACTTTCTTATGTATTGAAAGAGGATGAGATCTCAGGCAAATATAACTTTCCTATGTATGTAGGGGGAATTCAAGCGAAAACTCAATATTTTGTGAGATCCGTGAGATCCAATCTCAACCACAAATCAAAGTTTAAATTAGGAATTTAATAGTTTTGGTAATTTTACTTGAAAATTTAAAATGGCATTGTAGGTATTTTTAAAAATCTTCTCTCTCCTCTCCCCTCCGACGTGAAAATTCCACTGTGATACCCACTGTATACACCTTGTGATACCCTAAGATACACGATGTAATACAAAGGAAACAGCGAAAATACACTCTGTTACTAGCATCAAAGATTCACAAATAACACACTGTGGAGAGTTATGAGTTTCCTATTTATGGGAGTTATGGGTTTTCTATTAAATGCGTTTATGAGTTGTCTTTTTTATTTCTAAATTACCCTTTTCTATTTATTTAATAAATAACATAATTATTTTAAATTTGGGACTCATGATTATCACACACACACACATTGAAAAACTCACACTCCTCGCCTTCGGTAAGACTTGAACCTTTGACCTCTAAGGAGGTTGGGCTCTACCAGTAACTCGGGTGCCTCTGGTCCTTGACCCTTTAGCTTGTAATAATATATCTGTGAAGTTGGTAAAAGTCGTTGAAGGAATTCTCTAAAATCATGTGCTTTTACGTTGATTATTTTAGGCTATATCTACAGTCTTTCAAGTAGTTGCAGCCGGCCTGTTTGCATCAACATCTGGAGCTCTGTATCTCTCCGTCAGTGGCATGCTAATGTAAGATTCGATCCCTTTGTGTTTTACACTCATCTATGCTCCAGATGATGAAAATCTGTCGAGATTTAATTTTCTAGGAATGGTCCTGGCGGTTTAGATATAGATGAGCTGGCTTGTTAGAAAGCTTGGTGAGCAGGAGCCAAGTTCTAGCCTAGTTATGCTGGGGCTTGGCAGCCAGCAACCGTAAATAAGCCGAGCTTATCCAATAGACTTCAGCAAGCTATGGTTCGGGTGGATTTCCTTAAATAGATCCTCATTGTTATTACTCCCTTCGCCCAAAATAAATTATCACACTTTTTAATTAACTAAATGACAAGTTTACCCTTAATAAATTGAGTAATGATTTCTTCATCTCATAATTAAGGGTACAAGTTACAATCAAGAGCAATCAGATTTTTAATGCTGTGAAAAAGAAATGAAATAGAAAAGATACAAAATGAATGACTAAAAGAAAATCCGAACTATAAAACCAAGGATACTGATATCTTGGCAACATTTCGAGTAACTCCTCAACCTGAAGTTCTGCCTGCCCATAGTTAAGGGTAGAAATGGAAAAGACGTTATTTTTTAATTTGGAGACATCTGTTTATTAGAGCTTAATGAACTTAACATGACTCGTTTTATTCGGTTACCTATACATGACTGTTTGGTAGCGGCTTAATGATAGAGAAAGTGCTTATTCAGTAAGCTTTTAGGGGAGAGCTTTATGCAGAAAGCCAAGTTTTTTTTCCAAACCTGTCACTGTCAATTAAAAAACTCGCCCCTTCCATCTAAGAAAAACCCTCCCAAACAAGAACCTTCTCACAATCTATACAAATAGATTAATCTACACAGACAGCTTTATCCATATAGGACTTGATGGAAAACCAACGAACTAAAATATAATTGTGGACATTTAGTTAAGACAGAGGGAGTATATGATTATAAGAGAAACGGATGTAAAATGTAGGAAGCTTTTGTGCAGGTTTGTGTTTTGTTTTGCTGTTGGAGTTGGTCCTGTTCCTGGTCTCCTCCTCTCGGAAATCTTTCCAAGCAGAATAAGAGCAAAAGCTATGGCCTTTTGTATGTCAGTTCACTGGGTAATATACACTCAAAACCCAATATTTTTCAGTTTTAGTAATTTGATTGCAGTTAAAATGCATCAAAATGCAACGAAGTTTGCCTTGGTTTCTATTTTACCTAACGATGATATTTTTTCTTAGTTAGTGTAACAAACGTTCAAATCTTCATATTTCATACCTATTTTGACCGGGAAACGTTAGATCTTGTAACTTGATGATCTTGATGCCAAGTTATCAAAATCATCACGTGTCATGTAAGCTGAAAACCCATTTATCGGGTAAAATGGCTACGAAATAGAGAAGTAAACGTTTGTTACACTAATCGAGGAAAAAATCATGGTTACACGATAGGAACTAGCGGAAAGTCCAAATTCGGACCATAAACCTTTTGAGAGTTGTAAGAAGCAGTCTATACATTGATGCATATACACTATCAAAATATGAATACATCAATTAGGCGGAGGGATCAATTGCAAGCCAAGCAATTTGTATAAACCTCATTCACCCAATCATAATTTTTCTTTTCTTTTTTCCACTTTTTTTAATGAGGGTTGATTAGTCATTTTTACTGTGGAGGGCCGTTAATTATGGACATTATATTAATTTTAGAAAACAAATTTCATCAAAATGAGAAACAAATTAAACAATTTCATTTTTACATAGAAACAAAAATATATGAAACAGTTTCTTCAAGAAACGAATTATATGAAACAATTTTATTAAATTGAACAGTGAAATCGACGGTTTGTACAGATGACTTAGTTTGCATTTGATCCCTCCCCTATCAATTAGTATATTCTTCAATGCATATGTATCATATAGGTTGGGTTCCGGTGAGAAAAGAAGTTATAGTGAAAAGAATTAGAAGTTATCTCTACCCTTGGATCAATTCTAATTGAATGTCAACACTAATGAGGTGCATCGAGATGCACCAGATCAATTCCCTTCTAAAGCGCCATTCATGGGTGGGCATGAGATTAAAAGTGATCAAGTGTTCAGATCTCTTATGATTCTCACCATAACTTCCCTTCTCACACGATCCTTCGCCTTGGTACATATATTCACCAAAATCTGTGTAGTGTATACGCCTATGCTTACAATGCATATACCGGTTCTCAAGATATTAATGGTTATCATTTGATGCATAATTTTGCCCTTCGATAGCCAAAGATTTCTTTAACGACTTGTTGGCATGTGTTGATGAATCTACTTACTAGGTGTTCAATTTCATGGTCGGATTATTGTTCCTACGGTTGCTGGAGGTAATGGGGCCGCAGCTGCTGTACTCGATGCTGGGTACGTTTTGTTTGGTGGGGGTGGTTTTTGTAAAACGAAACGTGATGGAAACCAAAGGAAAAACGCTTCAAGAAATCGAGATAGCTCTTCTTCCACAACAATAGAACAAATGTAAATCGATCATCATAGTGTTGCTTGTTGCTAATCCGGAACAGCCAACCGAGGCCGTTGATGCGATTCTAGTATTTACGGAAACGACCCCTCTACCCAGATGCGGAGTCGGTGTATATCTTATCATCGGATTCTACTTCTGTGTGGGATATATGAAGTTTGTTTGGTTTACTCGAGCTTATTATGTTGTTGGGAAGATGCTGTATGTAAAATAAAGAAGCTTTGGTATACATGTGTGTGTAATTCCGGATTTATTTATTTCCCGTGGTTTGTTAAAAAATACGACTTCCGTTCATCTGCTTTCGAGACTATGGTTTTCGTGCCGTTTTCGTCTTTGAGGCTAACTTAGCAATTTTCATGTTAAAAATCTTAAAAGGAGTTTATACCAAAATTTAAACCGGACAAAGTACCGTAAATATAAAATTAAGTTTACTAGGAATATAAATGAAGGTTTTGAAAGTAGGTTATTTAAAAAAAAATTGAAGTAAAATATGTTGTATTTAAGGGGTGATTTGGCAGTTGTTGAATGGTTTGGTATAGAATGATTAATACTCTCATGATATCGTGCAAAATGAAATATAATTGTTTACAATGGAATTAGGGTGCTTTATGGTTAGGGGATGTCCATGATACAAAATCTTTCAGAAGATTTTAGAACCATTAAGAGATAGATTTTTTTTTATCAAACAAGATTTACCTATTAACGATTCAGACACCATTTCTTAATTGAACTATTGAGGGGTAAACAAACATCCACTACTCAGATAAACAACTAATCTCTGGCAAAAGTTGATACCAACAGACACCGAAACTACCACCCACTTAGCAGTCAAGACATGCCTCAATAGCCAATGTGGAGATCACTAACCCACCAATTAATGAAGAGACTGTTTACCAAATGTTTTTTTAGATAAGTGCTTATGTGATCACTTATATTTAGTTTACCGATGTAACATGGTAATCTATAATTTTACCTGGTAAAAGTGATGACGAGAGTTCTATCCAGTAACTAAGGGTGATGACTTTTATCTGGTTAACGTTTACCGAATAAATTATTGTATACGATACCGTTTTGATTGAACTCTTGTAACTCTCAAGAATCAACATATCCAATTGATGTATTTAGAAATCCTCCTTATTAGTTGATTCGCGCACCATGCTTGCCTGTTGTAGGTATCTTTTATAACTTCTATATCTCTCTTGTCGTAGAAAAGTCCCGCATCTTTATAGTTACAGGTCACAGTTTGTTTTTGTTTTTTTTCTTTTGAGTGAACGTGGTACTGGTTTTGTGAACCATCCCAACGGTAGAGGCGTAGGTGTAATTCATATGAAGGAGGTCCCTACTTCTCTGCCAATGACATGCATGTTGTGTTGATTTACCTCTTCCATGATGACCGTGGGACTAGTACACTGGTACAGAAGGTCCCCTTCAAAAAGTGGCATCTACCCGTTTTGGTACCCGACTATTTGACCCGATTGGATCCACAAAGTATGAAATCGTCACATCCACTTGAATCAGACAAAACAGAGAAATTAACATCACCCAAATATTTCGATACACCAATGGTATGAAGCATGAAGATTTTGGGATTTCTTTAGCAGCTTAATGAACTTAACGATACTCGCAACTTCTTTATTTCAGTCCTTCCACCCTCTCGTAAATATTTTATCTTTAATTTACATTAAAAAAAAAGCCAAGCCAAAATCAGTATACGCAGACCTGTCCGCTACCTCAAAGAATAAAGCAGTTGTTTCCGCGAAGACAATTTACAGAAAAAATGAAAAACAACAACAAATTACGTTCATACCCATGGTCACCTGGGTTAAGAGAACTGAATAGAAAAGTCACCACCGGTTCTTCTCGTGATATCGAAACCGCCAAAATCGTCAAAGTCGGAATCTGAATCCATTTCTCGATGATCACCCCATTCGCCGGACCCAGATGAACCGTTGTCTTCACCGTGGTTCGAAGATGGAACCCTCAGCTCGGATACCGGAACCGGTAACGGCTCTTCGTTTAGATACTTGTCATGAAGCAGTTCCATTGCCGTGGCTCGACCGGCTGGATCAAAACAAAGTAGCTTTTTCGCAAGAAGGATCTCATCTTGCGATCGGTTCGGAAGGCACGAGTCTAAACCACTCGGGTTTTCCACTTTCGAAAATGAAATTATACGGAAATCGGGAAGTTGTACACAACCAGGCCACACTTCCTCACTTAAGTTACCTAAAACAGTGAAGATTCTGCTCAGCTGATCGATATCCGAAGATCCTGGAAAGACCGGTTCCAAAGTGAAAAGCTCTGCGATAATGCAGCCAAGAGACCATAAATCAATTTCAGCCCCATAGTTTGTTGATCCAAAAAGAAGCTCGGGTGCTCTAAACCAACGGGTCCCAACACAAGATGTTAAAAGGGCAGATTCGTCATTTCCACCAGCCTCGTTAGCCTCATAAGAGTAGTTACTCTTGAAGAAGTCTTCTTCTACATCGCTCGTTGTGCACGTTGCGAGACAAGATGTATCTACATCAGGTATGTTTGTTTCCTTGTCGACTTCATCAAAAGTGTCTTTGGTTTTGAACTCATCAGACGTTCCATATTCCTCTATGGTCCCGAGAGGTCCTTCCATAAGATTCACACGACTTTCTTGACCGACATTTTCGGGCTTGACTTGTTGATATACGGACGACTCGTGGCCCTGTGGCTGTGTGTGGTCATTAATGGAAACAAATCCAGGTGCTAGGCGTATCCGAGCCTGTGGGAATGAAACATACGAGTGAATAAAAGCAATTTATATTCAAGCAAAACGGAAATGCAAATACGGAGATTGGCATGCAGCCATACACTTAGACGTACGATTAAACACCGAACCAAACCAAACCAGCGCGGTGGGGGCCCGGGAAGGTAGAATGTACGCTGACATGACCTCTACTTAACAGAATGGATCGGTTGTTTCCGTGAAGATCCCCGGCTCATGAAATATGTGTGAAACAAACTTGCTCAACCAATGAGCGGCAATAGAACTTGAAAAAAAAGAAAAACGGTGCTAAAAATGAAAAACTACTTGGAGGCTGTTTGGTTGGTTTTCCATTAAAGAGGCTGTTTGGTTGGTTTTCCATTAAGTTCTATATGAATAAAGTTGTCGTGTGGAGTAATCTGTCTGTTTAGATAGAAAGGTTTTTGTTTGAGAGAGTTTTTTCATATACGGAATGAGCGTGTTCTTTAATTGGGAGGGGTAGGTTTGGAAAAAGAAACTCGGCTTTCTTCATATAGCTCCCCCTAGAAGCTTACTGAATAAGCCACTTTCTATCATCAAGCCACTACGAAACAGTCATGTACAGCAGACCGAATAAGCTGTGAGCCCTATTAAGCTCATCAAGCTGCTAATAAACAGACCCTTAGAAACAGGTACACGAAAACGTAACCAAGAAGCAAGCAAACGACTTAGACACACGAGAAATGGGGTGGCATGGGTCAAGGAGAAGTTGATGCAACACCATTTCAGGTGGTTTGGCCATATCTCCAACATAGACATTAACATGCACCAAATAAAGAGGACAGTTGTACACTTGTACTACAAGAATGAGATCGTTAGGGATCGGCCAAAGACTAATGTGGGGAGATATTGAAAGAAAGATTTGCATGGGTTCAACCAATGATATCGCCTCAGATAGGACTTAGGAGTGAGTGGAAGAACATCGTTCATGTCCGAGAACCCAATAGGGGGTCCACTTTATGTTTACTTGTGGTTTGAAGTGTTTTTGTTCCAGTTCCATTTTGAACTTATAGCAACTAGTTTGGGATGAAAGGCTAGTCATATTCTTTAAGCAAATTTCATTAACTGAGCCCTTAAATACAACTTACATGAAAATATTGCAAGGTTTCCCGGCAAGAGATCCAAACACCCATAATCCTTTGAAATGCAAGATGTAGACTTGCAAAGATCTAAAATTTATATCATTTGAACTTCTTGGAATGACCATCACAATTAACATGCTTCTGGTCATGGTCGAGTCAGATGACATAGGGGAATCCTAGTTCACGTCCATAACTCGTACGAGATAAACATGAATTCTCATACTTTATCATGATAACAATCTCACTATCAAGACAAACCCATGCTTGCATCAATTGCAAATAGCAACAAGGAGTCATTTGCAAGTGAATCTTTATGTCAAACTTAGTTCAGTGTGAAGCACTTTGTTACATAACCAAGTTAAAACTACCACAGGTAAATTCTATTTATATCAACTTCACAATCTACTCCATTATTCACTATTATCAACAAAATCAAACAGACTCCTTTTTCTTCAGCAACTTAACTCTACTTTACATCAAAATATTTTTGCATTTTGAATTCAAAAAGCACCTTTTTAATTCTTAGAAATATTGAAGAAAGACGTTTTTTATCAACTTGAAGCGGTACAAAAACAAAGTTACTTCTCATGGAAGAACATGACTACTTCATTGTCTTTAAAAAGGTTCAAGTCTGGAATTCCTCTAGACTTAAAATGACACTAAAGATAGGTTAATAGATTAGTTAGATGAACATAAAATGATGCACATATCTCTGAGTAGTTAGGCAAATTGTTGCACAATGAACTAAGTTTCACATAAGGTTCACTTGCGAATGATTGAGTGTTGCTAATTGTAATTGTGCAAGCATAGATTTTCCTTGATGAGTTGATGGTGGCAATTACTATCATGATGAAGTATGTGAGATCATATTTATATCGTACGAGTAATTCAGTGAACTAGATACCCTAAGCTATCCTATAGAAGTGATTATGACTTGAAAGCATGTTAATTGTGAAAGTCATGATATAAATTTTAGACCTTGCAAGTTGGCATCTTACATTTATAAGGATTATGGGTGCATGTAGTGAATTAGTGATTTTCAGCCTTTTCATATAAGTTGTATTCGACTTTTTGAGGGTTTTGATTGATGAGATTTTCTTAAAGTATGTGACAAGTCTTTCATCCCAAACTATTTGCTACAGATTAGAAATGAAATTGAAACACAAACATGAAGTGAACCACAAGTAAACATGAAGTGAACCCCGATAAGGTTATGGGGCATGAACAGTGTCCTTATAATTTAAGGCTAGAGACTTGATTATACACAACTCATGCAAAAAAAAAAAAAAAAAAAAATCTACTACCTCTCCACATTAGTCTTGGCTGGTCTCTACTTCTCCTGACCTCATTTTGCAGTGAAGTTTTAAAAATTTGGGCTATTTTGCCGAATTCCTTAGCACTTACCCACCTCTTCCAATTTAAGTAACAATATTCTTGAATCATCATAACTACTTCTCCTCTTTTCTATTTGGTGCATTATAAAGTCTATGTTAGAGATGGCCAAACCACCTCCAATGCTGTTGTATCAACTTCTCCTCGATGGTTGTATATCCTCGTATCTGATCTTATGTCTAAGTGTATGCACATAGGTTGATTCACCATCTTACACACCAAGATTCCTAGGAACTATTTTTCTATAATCCAACTAATCTTTTACAAACTGTTTACTAAACTCTTACAGGGTAAGTACTTATCGAGTGTCACTCTACCTAACCACCTAACCAGTGAGTATGACAATGATCGAGAATCTTACCCAACAAGAGGAATAGCAGACCAAAAATCTTACCCCGCAAGGGAGAATCGAGTAAGCACTTACCAGTAAAAGATGCTTACTAACAATCCATCTCGATGGTCGAGGATATTACACGATAAGGTGAGGGTGGAGTGTGGAGTGTAACAGCCCAAGCCAACCGTACCAGATATTGTCCAATTTGTCTACAAACCCAGACTCACGGTTTTAAAACACATATTGTAGAGGGTAAAGAAGGTATCAAGTCCCTTAGAAAACCTTAGTTCCACTCTCCAACCGATGTGGGATCTTACAATCCACCCCTTAGAGCCCAACGTCCATTGCTTGGTTCCCGGCTCTCATACCATTTGTAACACCTCAAAGCCCAAAGCCAGGAGTAACATGTTGGCCCGATAACTTCGAATTTAAAACCATGGTAGAAGTGATCGACTTGCAAGGAGCTCACAAATCTTATTTTCTAAAGAGTTTATTACATGAAGACCGGTGACTATTGCTGGTAATCGCTTACCCGATAAAATATTTGATAAAATCTGTGAAATATCGGCTAAAACACATTCTCATGATATCATAAAGCAGTAAGATAATCACCTGGCCGAAATCAGCTAACTTGAGTACACCATCAGCTGAAATCAACAAATTCGAGGGTTTCAAATCACGATGAATAATTGAACTCCGATGACAAGCATCCACCGCCAATAAAATCTGAATAATCCACCTCTTGATCTCGCCGACGCTCAATCCTTCCCGTTCCTTCTTCGCCATTCGAATCACCGACGACAAATCCGTCGGCAGGTACTCGAGAACAAGCACGGCATCTTCGTCCTCGCTCCAAAAGTACTCGTGCAATACGACGACGTTGGGTGAATGTTGCAGAGTTTGAAGCGCTTCGATCTCGCGAAAAGCGGATTGGTAATCATGAACTTCCTTCAATGCGACGGGAAGGTCATCGGAGAGACGGCGAGCTTTGTAGACGTCGGAGTAGGCGCCGGATCCAACTCGGGTTTGGATCTCGTACTTGGAGGTAATTTCACGGCGGGTATGGATGCTCCAGCTCTTGGTCGTCGATGGCGGAATTGGATCCATTTGATCTTCCGATTGTTCGTTTTTTAGGGTTTTCAATTTTGCTGCTTTTTTTCCTCTTCGCTACGAGGAAGAAGATGATATACGATTTGCACGTGAGAAACCAATATTCCATTTTTTATATTTAACAAATAAATGATAACAACATTTAAATTTGAAAATTTAATTAAAATAATCATTTTTAAATGTTATTTTATTTTTATCTGTTAACTAATTCTCATCTAATTAGAACTGTAAACGAACCGAACAAACACGAACAGAGGCTTGCTCATGTTCATTCGTTTAACTTAACGAAACAAACGAACGAACATGAACGATAAACAAACGAAAATCTTTGAGTTTGTGTTCGTTCTTTAGAAATCAGATGTGTTCGTTTATGTTCGTTCGTTAACATGCTGAACGAATGTAAATGAACGAACGAGCTAAACGAACATAAACGAACGGACTAAACAAACATAAATAAATATTATTTAAATTCAAAGTAAATAAATAAAATATAATATATTAAATTTAATATATAAACGGACAAATATAAACGAACAGTAAATGAACTAACGTTCACGAACATAAATGAACGAACGAGGCACTTGTTCATGCTCGTTCGTTTAACTAAACAAACAAAAAAAATTGTTCATGTTCGTCCATTTATTAAATAAACGAACTTCTCACCGAACGGTTTGCTAAACGTTCAGTTCATTTACAACCCTACTCCTAATATTTCACAAATGTCACTATATCCATAAGGGACACCTTCTCAGTTTAAGTCGGGACCTATATCTATTTTACATATTTAGTCCATGCACCTGAGGATCTGGTTCAAAAACTTTCTTTTTTTTACACTTTGACCCCTCTGTAAATCATGAACCAACTACTTACGGAGGTAGTGACATTTTACTGATTTCAACAGAGAAATGGCTAAAATATGAAACCACAAGCCGAAAATGACAATTTTAATTAATTTCCCTCTAAATTTACCAAGAGGATCTTCAATAATTCTCAGTATCATTATCTAAAATGGAGAAAATAGGGTTTTCATTATCTGTTTTGTTCAAACAGATTCTTTATATCACTGTTTTATTGAATTCTACCAATGAGGCTAAATTGTTATTATTTTATATAAATTCTTTTTAAAATAATAAATATGTTAGAGTTAAATGTAATTTTATCTACGGATTTTGACTTTTGATTTTCTATTTTAAATAAATTATAGATATTCTACTGGAGATACTGTTATTTGTTCGTAAATAATTACAAGAAAATTGCTTAGAATAAGGTAAATAATTTCTTTCTAATTCACTTTTTACCAAAATATTGACGAGATTTTATCAGTGTTCATCTCGCAACTTATGAAATGTGTTTTTATGAATTAAATACGATTTTAGTGGGATCGGCTTACAAAATAATATATGTAGCTTGCGAAATCTTAATTATTTTAGGATAATTGAAAAAAAATGGGGTAAAAGGACTAAGGGGTTGTTTGTTTACCTGTTAATAGTTCCATTAAGAGACAACCTCTTAATCATTAATAAGGTGAATCTTGTTTGACAAAAACAAAGTCTGTCTCTTTATGGTTCCAAAACCCTCTGAATGATTTTGTATCATGGGAATTTCTTAACCATTCAGCGCCCTAATTTCATTGTAAATAATTATATTTCATTTTGCACTATATCATGAGAGCCTCTTAATCATTCGGACTACTTAATTATTCTGCATCAAACCATTCAACAACTGTCAACAGCCCCTAAAGAGTTGTTTTTTACCTATTAATAGTTTCATTAAGAGGCAACCTCTGAATCATTAATAAGTAAATTTTGTTTGGCAAACAAAGTCTGTCTCTTAATGGTTCTAAAACCTTCTGAATGATTTTGTATCATGGACCTCCCATAATCATTCAGCTCTCTAATTTTATTGTGAATAATTATCAAATAATTATCTTTCATTTTGCAATATATCATGAGAGTCTCTTAATCATTCAGACTACTTAATCATTATACATCAAACCATTCAACAACCTCCAAAAACTATTTTTTTTTATTGCTTAAAAGACAATTTTTTCTGTTATTTTATCGAAGCAATTTCTCTTATCCAGTCAAAAACCATAGACCGAAATCATAAAATCGACTTTGATCGATTAAAAGACAATTTTTTTGGTAAAAATTGACGAAAATGTCCTTCATTTAACGGAATATTTCAACGGCTGTTAAAGAAAGAGACCAACTTCGAACCATAATGCTCGTCTTATAATTCTGTTTCATTGTATTTTGGTTATCGTACTGCAGTTTGATTACCGTTTTCGCATTTTTTGGTTGAAAAAAGGCTACCCTTGTAAATAACTGAAATAAAAATAAAATTAAATACAGTTCTTTAAATTCAGTTTCTGTTTATATAAATGAACACGCTAAATTAAAAGATTGAAAACGAAAAGCATAATAAGTTTCAAACTGATATCGTATCTTCCAATCTCGAGAATATTAAATGTTTAACTTACAATACAGTTTCTTTTCAGATCCGTTATTCTGATAAGATGGAAGCGTTTCTACAATTTCAACATTCCACAAGACTTTTTCTTTCGTTTTTTGCCTATTACAGATATCGTGCGTTACTGAATTTCTCCAAGGGGGTACCCCACCAATTGGGCGCAAAAAACTACCTGTTACCGTTTTCAGCCGAACCTGAAAACCGTCCCTTAATGGTTCCCATTCGACGCTCCCATCTATATCTGGTTTCAATTCCGTTTGCATCACCTTTTTCCCCTTCACCCCCTCGAGAAGCATACTGTTTGACGCCATCAGGTATTTTCCGTAATAGCTTTTGAAACGTAAGAATTTTTCTCCGGTTGGATAAACCTCCCATTCCGCATTCTCGGTCGAACCGTCACGATCTTGAGAAACAGATTCTTCGTCTTTTTCTGCCACCAGATACTTGTCCTTGATGCTTCGAAGACGAATCTTTTTCGCTTGTTCGAACAGTTCCATCTTCTTGAATCCAGTTACAACAGAATTAACATCAAATGGGTCGATAATTTTGACAAACGAATGATTCCGATGTTTCAGATTTTCGATTTCGATTTTGATTTCGATTTTATTTTTTCTAACTTTGACTTCAATCTTTATCATCCAGTAAATACAACAACCAATCAATGCAAGCCACATGGATGGTGTGATATTTAAGAGAATCTCTAAAAATAAAACAAAATTAGAAGGGTGCTTGTATAATGTAGTGAGATATATCTCAATTTTAATATTTTGTTTTATTATTTATTTATGTCGATATAATACGGTTTCTAGTGGTTTTGAAAAAAACGATAATGTTTTATTTTTGAATAAAATATTAATTCAAATTTACTATTTAAAGTTCTAGGTTTTTGTGTATATTTTATTTATAATTTAATTTAGATTTAATACCGAAGTAATTTATTTATAGTTTAATAATATATTTTTTATAAAAATAATAATTAAATATTTTGTTATAACTAATGATTATCTTAACTATATTTTAATTTTTTATATCAAAATGAGATGTCTATCTCGTATTTGATTATGTTTATCTATAGTTAGTTAGACAAATTCAAAAATAAAGCTCTAGTAAGTTATACTTGCGCACAATTTACTTGTGATATTTAATTTTAAGTAATATGTATCAGTAAACAGTACTTTATGCATAAAAAATGATTTTTAAGAGTTTTTGTCAAATGTTTTATAAATAATTTTGATTTGCGTTCTTATGGTTTATAAATTGCAATTTTAGTCTCTATAGTTTTTAATTTGTCGTATTAATTCATATCTTTAAGTAGAAGGGACCAAAATAGTAAATAATTGTAAACCAGAGGACCGAAACAACAAAAGTTTGTAAATCACAAGGATGAAAGTAGCAATGAATTACAAACCATAAGGACGAAAATCGTAATTTACTCTTGTTTTTGTTTGAAATTTTCTAATTTAATAAATATTTTAATATTATAATTAATAAGAAAATTGTGTTAAAATTCCATTTTGGATAACGTTAAGGGCCGTTTACCAAACACTTACCAGGTAAGCGCTTACCGGTAAAGTTTAACATTATCATTTACTTATCGGATAAAATTTTAGTCCAACAAAACGCTATCGTATGCAACACTTTACCCAGTAAACTCTTACCATGATAAGAGTCGTCGCCCTCACTTACCGGATAAAACTCTTGGTCCTTGTCTCGCTCTACTGGGTAAGATTCTTGATTCTTACCATATTCATCTAGTAAGGTAATGTGACTTGATGTCCACTAACCCAAGTAAGCGTTTGGTAAACAACCCCTAACTTTTACTTCTCTGTTTTAAAGATATTATAGAGAAAAGTTGTGTCACAATTGCAACCGTTGCTGCCGCCACCACCACGATCTTTTCCACCACTTTGCTAGCGGGATTAACGATCGAATTACCGACCATATGAAGAGAGGGGCCTCGTCGAGCACAAATCTTAGAATTCAAACAAACAAAGGGAAAAAGATTCATCTCACACATAATTTTGAACAACAGAGGTCACTCTTTGACATCTTCGGCCACCGGTATGATGGTCGGAAGTGGTGGCGGCAGAAGCCACGGTGGTTGCAGGCGGCTTTGTGCAAACTAACCACAACGCGCACCACGAAGTCAACATACATTCAAACGAAATGCAATGCAATGCAAAGCAACAAAAACGCCAAGCGATCAAAACTACATCAACCGCGGCCAACAACATTCACACATGAATCCTTGAAAAATAGAAAACCGACAACCGGAAAACTTGACAAACGGATGCCAAAAGCTCCGCCATGGATTAAAACCCCTAAGCATCACACCCACCACACATAACACCCCTGTTATCACCAAGAAAAAAGAGCAATCAAAACACCAGTGTTTGGTACGCAGACTAGACGAGCAAGAGTGAGGTAGGCAGGTGAAAGAATTCTGAAAGGTTTTACAGTTTTGATATTACAAGGGTAGTTTAATAATTTACCAATCTGTGTTCCATGATTAACATCTTAGGTATTGTTTGGTTTGTAGAATTGGATTGGATTTGGGATTGAAAACCAAACACGATTCCAAATCCTTCCATGAAATCCAAATCCCTCGAAACCATTCCATCAAACCAAACGCACCTTTAGTTTCTTCGGAATCATATAAACGGGACCCACAAAACGAAAATCTTAAATAGGGTTCGATAAACGATAAGAAATTCGTAGTGTAATACTCACATAATCGAGCAACCGGAGCTTTTACGCCTTTTCTGCCTCACGGCCTCCTTTCTCCTTGGAGGTTGAAGAACCACCTTGATGGCCGTATCAAAAACCGCTTTCACGTTCTATAATCGAAACAAAAAATCAACTTTATTTGAACATTTAACTTTAAAATCGTCAAAAGTCAAAGACTTCTTTTACGGGTATTCGGTTTCGATTTCGTCACCTGTTGAGTCTTGGAGCTGCATTCAATATAAGCAGCTGCACCAATTTGTTTCCTAAGTTCCTCACCCTAACAAACATCAAGGTTCACCAATAAGCTACTTTTATGGATCAAATCATGTATGGTTGATCGAATAAGCTGTGAATCCCGTTAAGCCCATTAAGCTGCTAACAAACAGACCCTCAGGGTCTAGGGTAAGATGTACGCAGATCTTTTCTCTGGCCCAAAGGGTAGAGTTGTTTCTACTAAACTAAAAACCCGAATAACCAAATCAAACAAACCCAATAAATCCCAGATAGACAGAGGTAGGGTCTAAGGGTAAGATGTATGCAGATATTTTCTCGGCCCAAAGGGTAGAGAAGTTGTTTCCGTGAAACGAAAAAGCCCGAATCAAAGCTCAAAAGATTGATGACTTGGTACCTGAGCGGAGGTAATAGCATTAGAACCGACATGGTCGGCTAAATATCCCTTGTCGTCACGAAGATCTGAAAGAAAAATAAAAAACCAGAAAACGAGCTTAAGTGCTTTTTTTGGTAACTGTGGATGTCCGGACCATCTTTTGTGAACCCAGATAAATCCCATGGGCCCTGAAGATAACAATCAAGAAAAAGGAGCCTCAGGGCCCAACCTTTATTTGACAGTTGAGCTAGCTCTCAAGGTTGCTCAAGTGCTTATTATCAAGAAATCTTGAAAATTGTGTTTTTCAAGATATCGACAAAAGAAAGGAAATGCAAAACAAAATGATCGTAAAAACGGTACCTAATTTTGTCCCGACGAGCACTACCGGAACATTTGGTGCAAAACGTCGAAGTTCCGGCATCCACTGTGTGAACAACCAAAGATTAGTTCACTTGAGATAACGTTGTTACTCGCTCCGTCTTAAAAGTAAATGTCCACGATGAAAATGACATATAGTTTTAAGAATATGTAATTATTACACTTTTTAATCATCAAAAATGACACTTTTACCCTTAATTATAAAGAGAAGTTTTCTCCACCTTATAATTAAATAGAATGATAAACATCTCATTTTAAATATAAAAAATCTAAAATATAATTAGGATAGTCATTGACTTCTAACAAAATACTTAATTATTATCTTTATAAAAAAAATTTATATTATTAAACCAAAAATAATAATAAAAATTAAAGAAATACACAAAAAATGGAGAAAATTTTAAATAGTTAGTTTGTTACTAATATTAATATTTTTTTTCTTCATTTTTTATCATATCTTCACATTTATATTTTATTTAAAAATAAAAACATTAACCACATAAAACCGTATTATAACATCGACTAACACGAAAAAAAACAAAACAAAACATTAAAATCGAGATGTATCTCGCTGCATTGTACAAGTACCCTTCTAGTAATATTTAGTACATTTAGCATTCCAATAAACTTTAAAACATATTTTATTTAAAAATATTACTTTTATATTCTCTCTCCAAAATAAATATAAAAAAGAACAATTAAAGTATACTCTCTCTCCTCAAAAAATAATATTTTGGAGACTTCTTCTCTCTCCTCCAAATATGGAGAAAATACATTTTCTCGGTTTTAAAGAATCTGTTGTAAAAACAAAAAAAAACCCGAAAATCTTCATTTTCGCCGTTTTAAAAAATTGAAATTTTGAAGTCAAAAGCAAATTCATTTGACTTTAAAAGTCAAAATCGACTCGATGGTAGATAAAGAAGTCAAAACGAGATCTATCGATTTTTGAAGCTACAAACGAATCTTTTTTACTTAAAAAAACTCGGGTCAACTCTAATTTGTGGAATTAGAAAATAAATTTCGACTTAGATTACGGGGTTTTCTTCTTTTTCAAGATTCAATGTTATCGGTTTTAAAGTCAAAAGCCAATCTATTCGACTTTAAAAAAGTCAAAATCGGTTCTCAATTAAGAAAAAGGTTTCAACTTGATTGTGGGAGGTTCAAATCAGAAAACTAAATATCACGACAAGATAAGAAGAAAATATTCATATGTGAATAATTAAACAAACTCTACTTGAAAATCCATACTTGAACCCATATTCACATGTGAATCTTTAAATAGATCCTTCAGTAATTCACATATGAATCTTCCTTTTCAAACAGATTTTTTCAATAATTCACATATGAATCTTCCTTTCTTCCGTTCTCACGATGTTTAGCCTTCTTATTTGAACCGACCCTTATGATACACGGAGTGCTTAATTCAATTCAAACTCAAAAAAGCCAAAAGAAAAGTAAAAAAAGGAGAAAGCACTAAAGAAAGTGTACCTTTTTAAGGACATTTTCATAGCTTGCCCTACTTATTAAAGAGAAAGCCAACACAAATATGTCTGCACCTCTGTAGCTCAGTGGTCTTAATCTGCTGTAATCTTCTTGACCTTTAAATCACACAAAAAAGGGTCAAAATGGGAACAGGGTATGGTTCGGATCTACGCCATTCGCATAATCATAGTCGTGAAGTTGATCTATGAACGTAAAGACGATACCTTTCCTTAAATGCCATAATATATGACTACGAAGTACGAACTAACTGTAATAACTGCTTTTCTAGATCTGTCTGTTTTAAACCTTAAACAGGTACCGTGTTAGAATGGGTTCCTTGTTTAAGGTTTAAAACACACTGATCTAGTTCAGGTTTACTCTTTGGGGTAAGATGTTTGTGTACATCTTACCTTCTCTGGACCCCACCTCCACCTCCACCTCCAGATGGTGGCCATGGAGGTTCACCTGCGATAACTACAGGCTATTTGTGGCCATGTATATGATTAATCATTTAAAAACTAAAAAAACTGTGAGATCCGTGAGAAGTTCTATCTTAAGGTTTCGTTTCACATGATTTTTTTCCATCTAAGTATAGTATTTAATGTATTGATTACCATACATTTGTTTCATATGTATTCGGGTTACAATATGAAACTTTTTTACGTATATTTTTTGTTTCACAAACACACCAAAAAGGTTCACGTTGTGAACCGAGTACATATGAAACAATCATATTATGGAAAAAAATATGTTAATCGCTACATTAAATTCTAGTCGTAGATAAAAAAAAATCATATAAAATAGCACATGATGTACTGGTTCTCAGATATCTCAAAAGAAGATCCCTATATATATATGTATATGTATATATATGTATATGTATATATATATGTATATGTATATATATATATGTATATGTATATATATGTATATGTATATATATGTATATGTATATATATGTATATGTATATATATGTATATGTATATATATGTATATGTATATATATATATATAGAGAGAGAGAGAGAGGAGGGAGGTTAAAAAAAAAACCAAAAAGAAAATGAAAAACTATTGAACACCCTAGTAACCATTCATCTATACGATACACAGTACATATAAGTAACTAAAGTTGTTTCTTGGTTTCAACGCACACGTGCATGCAGCATGCCATATAAACTGCTTACAAATTACTCGTACACACATGTGCATACAGTCCAGGATATTCCTCTGTTTTTCATTTTTTAACGGTTTAAGTATATATATATATATATAGAGAGAGGTGGGTTATTATACAACCCTTTACATTTATAAAACCAATACAACTCAATCTCAACCGTCCATTTAATTTGATGAATATGTAATTTGATATAAAGTTTTGATTGTTTCCTAATATAAGGTATTGATCATAATTAATGAACCTTATTCATCTTCCATAAATATTTAAATCATAATAAATAAACTCTCATCATTTCCATAAATTGGCCGTACAAATGTAATGGGTTGCATTTGAAACAAACTCTCTCTCTATGTATATATATATATATATATATATATATATATATATATATATATATACCCACAATTCTTTTAAAAAATGAAGTCATAAATGATTGTAAAAATTGGATTATGAAGAAAAATACCAGCAGTATCCCATAATCCCAAGTTAACAATGCTCCCATCCACAGCCACATTAGCACTGAAATTGTCAAAAACTGTTGGTATATAATCCTGTCAACAAACAAACCCCAATTATCAAACCACACCTTCATAATCCAATTTTGGTAACACAAATTTTTAATTCAACATCTAATCACCATCTAAATCATCCACAATTCACCTCAAACATCAAACCCACAAATCATAATTAACCAATCATCATGCAGTTCTACAAGAACCCCAAACCCGACCTAAAATAGGGTTTTCCCCAAATCTATACATACACATATACATATACATATACATATATATAGAGAGAGAGAGAGAGTAGAGAGAGAGAAGAGTGATTACAGTGGGGAACTTGTTGCTGGTATAGCAAATGAGCATACAGGTTTTGCCAACAGCTCCATCTCCAACAGTTACACATTTTATGAACTTTGAAACACTCATTTTTGTGTGTTCTTGAGCTTTTTCTGCTATTTGTTCAAGTGATTGATGATCTTTAATGGCGAAATAAACCCTAAAAAAGAGGGGTTTTCAGAGGAAAAGAGTGTGGAAGAAGGTTTAGAGAGAGAGAGAGAGAGAGAGAGAGTGCAGAAGAAGACAATGGAGAGAAATGGGAACATTTGGGTTGTTCCAAGATTTTGTTGTATTAATAAGGTTTTCAATGAAAACATTTATTATAATCATACCTCGTGAAAATAAGTGTTTTTTTGTTATAATATTCTTTGATTATTGTGTAATTATTATTAAAATATAGTTAACGGTTTGGTATAGAACGATTAAGAGACTCTCATGATATAGTGTAAAATGAAATATAATTGTTTGGTAATTGTTTAGGATGAAATTATGGTACTGAATGGTTAACAGAGGTCCAAGATACAAAATCATTCAAATAGTTTTAAAACTATTAAAAGGCATGATTTTTTTTGTCAAACAAGATTCACATCTTATTCTCATACAATCTTAAGACTTAATTTTAAATGATAGAAACATTACTTCTTTTTTTTTATTAACCTGGATATTCAACCTACTATGCGAACCGACTAATCCAAATGCGACAACCTGTTTTGCGGATAGACTGAAGTCACTGCTTTTGAACCTTTGTGGCCATAAGAAGATTTTTATTCCTCCTTTAATTTAAAACCGGGACTTCTAGATACTTTTGATCTTTAAAAACTCAAGCTCAAACCAATCAAACACCATTCTTATGGTTTATTAGTTTCTTAAATATTCTCTACTTATTAAACAATTATTAAAAAGATCAAACAAACAAATTTCATGTGATGGTGTGTTGGTAACATTAATTTTCAAGCATATATTTTTATTTTTTATTACCAGATATTTTAGGTATTTAATTTAATATTTATTAAATTATTTACCAAATTAAGTATTTTACATTTATTCTAAAGCAATATATATATAATAATAATTATTATTATTTATTTATTTGTTAGATCTTTTCTTTAACTTTAAATTTATATTTGTATTTAATTTAAATTTATTATAATAATAATATATTTGTATTAGAATTCAAGATGGAAGTTCAAATGAAAGTCTTAAAAACAAAAAAAATAAGAACAACTGGTAAATCATTTAACTGGACTGTATGAATATGTGTATATAAGTAATTGAACGTGTCACATTGTATCATTATTTTGCCTTGTGACTAAAGAGTTGTTTGTTTACCTCTTAATAGTTCTAATAAGAAACAGACTCTAAATCGTTAAAAGGTGAATCTTGTTTGACAAAAAAGAAAGTTTGTCTCTTAATGATTCTAAAACCCTCTGGATAATGTTGTATCTTGGGTCTTATTTAACCATTCAACACCTTAATTTCATTCTGAATTATTACCAAACAATTATATTTCACTTTGCACTGTTACAAAAGTCTTTTAATCATTCTGATCATCTAATCGTTCTGCACCAAACCATTCAGCAACTGTCAAACAACCATAACTGATATTCTTTATCAAGTTTACCAGTTAATTTATTTTGTGTTTTAAAATTGTGTATTAAATAGTTAATTTACCTTTCAAATAAAAATTTAGAAATGTATAATATAATTAGACATTTTATAATATTTATTTGTTTTTATTATAGTAATTAATCACATATTAAAATTGATATTATTAAAGAAAATAATATAATAATAAATAAAAATGTATAATCTTATTAAACATATTTGTTTAGTGTGTGTATGTGTGTGTGATTGCAATGAAAAATTATTGCCAAAAATACCCTCCATGTTTTGAAAATATGACAAGAAATTTGGCAAGATGTGATTGGATGAAATGAGAAACAAGAAAGCGATGGTCAAAAGGTGTTTTCTCTCATTGAATCTTGAAAATCCAACAAAGATTCACTATATATATATATATATATATATATATATATATATATATATATATAGGAGTTCATTCAAGGAAGAACTAAATAGTTTGTGGTAACCGTGAGATCCAATCTCAACCACAAATCAATAGATAAATTAGGAAATTTATAATTTTGGTAATTTTGAATTAAAATTTTAATGCAAGGACATTTTATGTATTTTCTCTCATCTCTTCTCTCTCCTCTCTCCGTCCTTCGTCCTCCGGCCACCATCCTCCGGTGATATCAGTGTGATACCTAAAAATATTGACTCTGTTAAACAAAAGATACATTGTGATACCCAATCATATATAAGATGCATTGTGTTACATCTCTGATCGACCACACAAACGACCTCAATGTGATACTCAAGCACATATATGATGCATTGTGATACCATTGTGGTATCACCGGAGGATGGTGGCCGGAGAGAGAAGAAAGGAGAGAGGAGAGTTTTAAAATACCAAAAATATCCTTGCATTAAAATTTTAATTCAAAATTACCAAAATTATAAATTTCCTAATTTATCTATTGATTTGTGGTTGAGATTGGATCTCACGGTTACTACAAACTAATTAGTTCTCATTTGATTAGGCCCCTATATATATATATATATATATATATATACTATTTAATATTATTTTAAAATTATTGATTTTGAATTTTGGGACTGATCATATTAAAACCCAGTATTGTAATAACTGTGAGAACTATTATCATAAGATATTGCTTCATACAGTTTTTTCATTTAAAAGTAGAATTTAATATACTGAATAAACATATGTTGGTTTCACAATGTGTTGTTTCATATATTCATAATGTAAAACAATTTTCATGTCTTCTTGAACAAAAAGTGCAACTAAAAAGTTTAACATTGTGAACTGAATACGTATGATAAAAACATATGATACATTAAATCCAAGTCGTAGATGGAAAAAAAAAATCATGTGAAATAATACATGATGCACCAGTTCACAAGGTTATCAAAATTTTACTAGTTTTCAAATGAAAGCCTTCTTATGTATATGTATATTATCAGAACTTTCATTTTGGTACCCAAAATGTAAAGTTTTAAACATTTAAGTACCCGGGTAACCAGTTGAAGTATTAATCCGTTACCATGCTGATGTGATATCTAACTCAGTATAAATTTTTATTGAATTTTAAATTCAAAAGGTAAGTCAAATCACTCGTCACATCAGCATGGTAACCGGTTAATACTCCAACCTATTCTCGAATACTTAAATGTTTAAAATTTTACATCTTAGGTATCAAAATGGAAGCTTTGAACCCAAAATAAAAATCAAATTAAAGTACGTTACTTTTTCATGTAATTTGTCCTGATATTTAGTTTAAAGAAACCCAATTTAAAGTTACCTATATGCCCATGAACACATATAACAAGAAAATTAAAGATATAATTATTTACATATTCAATAAATCATACATATTTATAAACCAGTATTTGTTATTGTTTCACATATGAAACAACACGTTAAAAAGACACTATATATACTGTTGTTTTATTTGTGAAATGTTTCAAGACTGTTTTGTATAGAAGAAAATTTTCATTAACTCTCTGATATATGAAACAATACTGTATAAATATTACATTTTCATGACACAGATTTGGTTTTAAAAAAAAAAATATCTGGTTTTATTTATATTATTATTTTTATTTAAAAAATTAAATTTTGGGACCCACTTGAAAAAAGAGCACTAAAAATTGCTTTTATTTGTTTAGTGCTTTCCAATTATCTTTTCCCTTAACTTGCTTAAGGTTGAGGAACATTCTAATTGCCTACTTACCTTATAATTATTAATTATTAAATATTAAATAATAGTTTTTTTATTTGATTAAATAATTATTTTAATTTAAAGTTTAAACTGGTTTTGATTTTTGAATTTGAATAATCAGATTTGAATAAATAACACTGGATGTAATAAAACTGATTATCAGAGTGTAAGATGGCGTGTGTTTTTTTTAAGAGGTGTTGAAGTCTGAAGTTTTATTTCACTTCTGATTAATAAGAGGTGGTGTTAAAGTCTTGAATCTGAATCAATAAGACTGTTTGTGTTTGTAAATTGACAAACGTCTGCAGTCTGAAATGTAAATCAATAGTTTGTTTTTGTCAAATCAAGTGCAAACATTTTGCAAAATTCTCTTGATTTTCATGAAATTTTCAATTGTTGAAATTCATCTCAACGATTGCGTAGCATATAGAACACAATAAGAACCTTTTGGATACTTTACAGACTTCTGATGTTATCGGAATGCCGCTGGTGAGTTTGTTTGTGGAAAAATCTATACTTTTGATAGATGATAGATCACTGATAGAAGTTATTGTTTCACATTAATCTTCTAAGTTAACCTATAAATACATAAATCATATATATATATATATATATATATATATATAGAGAGAGAGAGAGAGAGAGAGAGAGATATTGTTTCAAATGCAACCTATCGCATTTGTACAACCAATGCAACCCAATAAATTGAGATATTTATGAAAACGATGAGAGTTCATTTATTATGATTTGAATATTTATGGAAGATGCATATGGTTCATTAATTATGATCAATACTTTATATTATGAAACAATCAAAACTTCTATGAAATCACATATTAATCAAATGAAATAGACGGTTGAGATTGGGTTGTATTGGTTGCACAAATGTCAAGGGTCGTATAATAACCAACCTATATCTATACTATATTATAAAGCATTTGGCTAAAACTCTTAAAAACTCTTAAACTCTTAAAACTCTTAAACCCGTTCATCCCTAAACAATTTCATCCCTATCTGATTTCATCCCATAACTGAATTCGTGTAACTAACTGCAGATAAACACAATCAAATACAGGATAAACATATCATTTTAAATATA